TCTCTCTTTCTCTCTGTCTCTGTCTCTCTTTAGTGAAGCTGCTTGTTATTGACGGCATTGCCACATGTTTGGCATCTTACAACTAAGAATGATTTGCAAAACGTCTTTTATAATAAGTTAAAATCTAAATAGGAAGAAGCATAATATTTATAAACATTACGAAAATAACATAGAATTCCAGGTATGAACTTTTAACGACTTTAAAATTGAAAGTGCAAGTGTATAAACGAGACTCCTTTTACGAAAATTAGAGATTCTCATAGATTAAATTTTCAAAGGCTCTCGAGATCTACTCGTAGAAGAAAAAATGTATTAGGTGTACAATGTAAAATATTGATTTCTTACACGAAAATGACATCTTCCATTTTAATTTAATAAAGTTAGTCTGCAGATATGTAATTTGTTTATATTAGAATCATAAAATATCTATTTAAAGCTTTTAATTAGGAAAACTCTTTCCATGAATAATTTTCATTAAACTATTAGAGAAGACGAGTAGTCGTGAAATAGATGCGAAGTGATGAAATACCATTGGTATCTCATATAGTTTGCGTTGAATACTAGGAGTAACCTCGGTTGAAATTACTTCACTTCGGTCTATTTAGATATTAGAATGGTTATTAATGTTCACTCTGTTCTTAAATTTAATGTGTGACGCAAGTTATATCAAATGAAGAGGTCATGGGCCGCTTAAATTGTGAGCGTTGCAAGCCTCAAGAAGTCCCGTCAAGCAATAAGATTATTTTTGTGCAGCAAAGAAATTGAAACATTATTTAAAAAATTATTTTTTAAGCCAAAGAAATTATTTACAAAAAATTTTTTGCAAATAGTAATATATAATATGTTTTATAAAATGTTTATAAGTTTACCTGTTGATTTTGTGGCACTTATTAGTATGTAAGATCTATGAAGAATAATTAATTTGTAATTTTTTTAAATAAAAATACTTTTTATTATAGTGTTGGCAGTATCCAACGATTTTTTCTTTTTTTCATTAAATTGTAAATTACGTAATATATACCAGATGAGCTTCTATTTAAGATTGGTAGAACTCTGTGGCTAATAAACTTGCGACCAGAAAAAAATTATCGCAATGAATTATTGAGTTATTTTAAGAGAGCAAAGATGATATTGCATCATATGCTTTTATCTTCTATTTAAGTTTCATTTTATTTCCATAAAGTCTTTAGTCCGCAAATCAGAATAAGTATCTTTTTAACAATTAGTTGAAATATACAAAAACCTAATTTTATCACAGAAGATATAGGAAGTTGTCAGACAGTCTACATAACTTTTTATATATCTATTACAATCGTATAAGTGTTTCACACACAATGAATAAGATAGGCGAATGCACGGTTATATCAGGATTTTAGTGCTATTATTTTATTATGTGATTTTACATACGTATCCTGGTTTCGACTAAACTGCATAACTTTTATTTAAAAAAAGATATAATGAGCTATTGATGAGATCATCATCATTCCTTTGCCTATCCTTTATTTCATTCATCTGTGAGTAAAACTATTTACGGTACCCAACTCCAATGACTTTCACTTTGACAACTTATATCAGCGGGCTAAAACTGCATTTTTACCAAATCATAATATAATAATGCATGAATTATTCATAGCCGCGCATATATGGTACGTGCTAGTATGCATATATATACTTGTAATATCCAGTTATAGAAATTACACGCACAAACAATTGTTTAAAGAATTGAAACTCTTCTGAGACGTTTATAATTTCCCCTGCCAAAAAACAGAATGTAAGAATAGCCTGCAACAAAAGTGATAATAAAGTGAGAATGTGAGGAAAAGTAGGGAGTTTGGATGATCCGGAGAGGACAGAAGAGATAAACAGGCTGTGGAAGAAGGAAGAAGGCCTCTGGACAACGATGGTGTGGGTTAATCGGTGTGAAGAGGATAACTATTCAGCCCTAGTAAAACTTCGAGCTAGAACCGGATCGGCTTACAAGCGACACTTCAAATTGGAGATAGCTGTCGAGGAGCAACGAAGAATTAGGAACTCGTTCAGAAAGAGAGGGGCGTGGTGCAGAACTGACCTGGAACGAGGCCTGATAGACTAAAAAACGACATTATCGTGTCGTCTTCCTGCCCAGAATCCGGCGGCCTTTTGGCTCTCTCTCGCTTTGGCTTTCTTTCATCCTTGGTTGGTTTTCACAGGTACGTTTTATTGAAAGTATATACTTTATATATGCGAGCGATTCAAATGTCTCGATATTAGAGACCGGGGCTCGTTGGTACAGTTTTCACAATTTAGACATTCCTGTTTTTAAACAACTATTTATTATGATTAAACTATATTAATATAGTAGAATAAACCTTTCACTACATTTTCATGCCAGAAACGATTCTGTATACTGTATAGTTTCTTTCTGTAGTAAGTGAAATACGAACATGCTGCAATGTAACCAATTTACCCCGATAGTCGAGTAAATTGACACATGTCACAATATGAGTTGCTTAAGCGGTAAACTCCATATTAAATTAATGAGAGCATAATAGCAGTAAAAACAGATCGCAGATATGTATTTCTTTAAAAAAGATCGCATCTTTTAGAGTTATTTTGTAATGATTAAATAGGAAAATGCTGTTAGAGAATAATAAATGTAAACTATTTTAAGTGTAACTTATTTCAATACAGAAATATTAAATAAAAAACTTTTTGTCATAATGTAATTAAATGGTTACACGCTTCTTACAATAAATTAAACTAATCTAACTTTAAATACGAGCCAACGTGTCCCATCCTTACAGATATATAATTTAGATCATTTTATTATAATAAATTATGATTATTACTCAAAATAACATGTTGTATAGTAACAAAAACTTTTCTTTTATCTAATAATAGGGTAAAGTAGCGTAATTTGGTCATAGTGTAATTTGTGTTAACAACATTTTTTTAGTACTGCAGTCGTACCAGACAGTTGTCGTTTATGTTATTAAATTGTCACTGTATTAGCTCACTTTTGATAAAATATAGAGCTAAATAGTGTTAATTTTTGTTCGGCAGAACAAAGCAAAAAAATTGTGAAAAATAATTAAAATTGACATTATTTTATTTTGTGAAGTGGTGATTTTTTCGTGATTTGGTGTAGGTAATGTGTGTTATGATGTGGTTTTTTATTCTCTTTCATGTGATTAATCGCGTTTCGGTGTGAAGTGCGTAGAAAAATTTTTACACCATTTTGTACGGGCGGTGCACCAACAGTATGTTATCGATCAATTGATTTCAATAAATTTCTTTCTTGATTCTCATTTTTATTGTTTTCATTGTTCATATATAGATTTTCACAAAAGAACCAGAGATAGCACTTGTTGAATACTTGAAAAAGTGTGGAGATTTTTATTACCGTAAGATCTCAGTATATGGAAGATTAATTTCAATGTTTGTGTGCTTTTTTTCAATGAAATTAATAAAAAAACTAATTAAAATTTGAAAATATGCTTTTTTAGCTTTATTTTATAATTTATTTTTTAAGAATTCTTAGGATTTATACGATTTTTATACCAAATTATGCTATAAAAAAAATCTCGATTTTTTGTGTTCCAGGAAAATAATCATATTTTTTTTTGCGATGAGATAGAAGGTAGGTATATTCGAGAAAAAGTTGCGCTAAGTCTTTACCTTTCTAACGGTATATTTGATTTCATGAAATTCGAAAAAATACGAGTTTTAGAGTCGTTCAAAAAAAAGTTGGCCAAATTACGCTATACTCTCCTACATCATTTAAATTTCTCTTTTCAGCTGAAGAACATTAATACGAAATTTTGAAACACTTGAAAATTTACTTGCCTTCTCTCAAATTAAATTTTTCTCTTTACTGAAATACTTGTTTGATTTAAATGCAACTTATTGTTAGAGATATGAGCCTATGTTAGAGATATTTTACTGTAACTTTTTCATTGTTTCTTTAATCATAAATACATAAACGGAACGCAGTACCAACTTGCCTCTTGTGCCAACGAGCCCCGGTCTCCCCTAACGATAAAAAGCAATATCGGTAATCCTCAAAGTATTATAAGCTAATCACCAATTTAAACTCATTTTCGGCCTAAGTATAATCGTGACGTCGAGCGATTAGATTCGAAACCGACGACAGCGGTTCACGGAATCTTTTTACGGTCTGTTCTTTTTACCTGAACTGGCTAAACTAGTTAACAGTTTATCTTTCTCTTTCTACATTGGAAGAAGAAAGATAAATTCTAAAAGCTAAAAAGAACAGGCCTAATATCTTTTTGAAGGGACGATGCAATCGTTAAATTTCTCCAAAAATTACTGAGCTCGTCAATGTCGTGGATAGTTCATGCTGTTAATGTACCTTAGAAGGCGAAAGTTGCGACGTCTGCGGACCTCAAAGAGGCTTGTGAAAGGATGTGCGATACGCGAGCATTTTCGAGCCCGTGGCTTAACTGGATGTTTTTTTCTCTGTGTAGAAACGAATTGAAAGATATTCAATTGATGAAGATCGCACAGCGCTAGGAATGACTGCCTTCAGTTCCATCTTCCTGGGTGTTTGGGGAGTGTTTGTCGTCATTTTGATAAAAGGTTCGTACGTCCATTTCATATACCCCTCACACACAAAGCTTTATGTTTCAACATTTTTCGCTAACGTGATCTCAACTCAAAATATAGAAAAATCTTGACGTTTCCACTATCTTGCTTGTCATCACTTTACAAACATTATTTATAATGCCTACCGTAATAATATTTTCTTCTTATGCAAAACAGAATTATGTAAAATAAAACAATCTTATTTGATAAAACATTAGCTTAATATAGTTGTTAATCATTTTAATTCTAATATATTTATAAAATTTTTACATTTTTCTTAATAAATTTTTATGTAAGAAATTCGAGAGTATTAAACTTTACATTTTATTAAACGTTGGATCATAATTTGATGATTGTGATATTGCTGTAACATTGCTTTATTATAAAAGCGATTACGAAATCCGACACATTTACCTAATGCGATTCGATTTGTCCAAAGAGTCCTTTGTCTTTTCTTTACACGAAACAATGCATTTATCTAATACTTATAAAATTAAGCTGACTTATCGGATTTCTCAGAGAGATTATTTCGCTCGTTAATAACAAAACATTTACAGAGTCGACTCCCGTTTATAGCTGGAATGATTGGTGGTCCTACGATGGTAATTCTGGTAAGCCATCCGGATCGGTTGTTTTTATATCATTATCGGTAATATTCCCTTCTTCTCTATTATCTAACATCACTCATAAAAAAAATGTCCTCGATTATTCAAAGGTCCTCTTTTTTGGAGCATGAAGCCAGAATGGCGACTCTGTGAAGAGGGTAAAAGACAATCACCGATCAATATTGAACATGCTCGAGTGACATTTAAAAGTACTCTTTTACAACCCCTTCATCTGGACGAACATAGAATTAATGGCGTACTAGCGAACACCGGTCATGGCGTCGTATTTACCGTGGAGAACGATACTCGCCATCCCGTCAAAATGTCCGGCGGCACGCTCGATTATCATTATCAGTTTCACGAGATTCATCTGCACTTTGGTTCGAACGATTCCATCGGCAGTGAGCATACTATTGACGGACGCGCATTCCCTGTCGAAGTATGGACAGAAACAAATATAATATTCTCCGACACTCTTCGCGATTTTTTGTTTCCATCTTCAAAGCTTGTTTATGAAAATTAAAAGTTTAATCAAAATTAAATTTTCGTTGACGTGCTAAATAAAAAGATCTGTTTAAAAATAAAGGATACTGTTTCGTTAAAAAGAAAGAAAAAGTTCTTTAATCTTGAGTCTAAACATACCTTTGTTCTTGTAGCTTCAGATATTCGGCTTCAACTCGCAGCTCTACAACAACTTCTCAGATGCCCTGCACAGAGAGAAAGGGATCGTCGCGGTGTCGCTTCTTTTACAGGTACACGTCCAATCTCTCCCATAGATGTTTATCGCATGTCAAATAAAGATCACAGTAAGCGATAGTTATAGGTATTTTCTCGGTCCTTTTCTAGGTGGGCAATGTCTCGAACCCGGAGCTGCAAACGTTGACGCAACAGCTGGATAAAATCAAATACAAAGGTGAGAAATCCAATAATGTAATGAATTCCGGAATAACAGTGCGGCGAAGTACTGAAGTAGCGATCAATTTAGCAAAAGCGATAATTTAATTTTAGCTGACAAATTTTAGCTGCGCGAGTTTAAAGTACTCAGGGGATTCTCATATCAGTCAAGATTAACATATCGAATGAATTAATGCAGGATTATGTTTCTTTCATAATGACAACGAATAACGACGCGAATAAATATTTATAAAATGTCATTTCTTGCAGTGGTACTGAATTAACAGCGATACTTAATTCAATTGACACATTTCATTAACGAAACACATTAAGAAGTTTCTCCGATAAACTAATAATTAGTAAAGGTTAAAATACTTATACATGTGTTTTTTATTCCTTCTTTTTTCTTAATAAATTTATATCTTGAAGTAACAATTCGAATTAAAATGTTGCAAGATTGATGTACCTTCGAAAGATTGATGGTAGCATGCGTTGTAACTTTCTAAGACTTCGTGCGGTGGTTGTCGTTAACTTTTGTCGAGAAGACAAATCGACAATTACTATTATTCTTTAACTCCTTTAGGAACACAAGTGCTTTTTGACGTATGCAAACGATTGAACAGTATGTATGATAACTTTAGCGATACATAACAATATATCAGCTGTACAGTAGCGTCTGGTGGACAATTAGACAGTAACACGCATATGTACACACCGCACATGTAACCATACGTGTACGTGAAAGAAATTGACGTATGAATTCAGTATTATCGATTGTATGAATTGCACAGGGCAAACTGTGGAAATTAAGCATTTCGGAGTGCGCGAACTTGTGCCGGACACGAATTACATGACGTACAACGGTTCCATCACGATGCCGGCGTGTCACGAGTCCACCACATGGATCATCATGAGTAGGCCTATATACATCACCAACTTGCAAGCAAGTATCGCCTTTCTCTTCATCGGTTTTTATAAAACATCCGTATAAAACGAACATATGTGTGTGAGAGAGGGATGAGGGTGTGGGAATGTGGAGGCGTGTGAGCGTGAGTGTGTGTGTGTGTGTGTGTGTGTGTAATCGGTAAAGTATAATTTTTATTTTTTATCTTTTGAGAAAGAGAGTATGATATTTAAATAAAATAGTCAAGCTTACTCTTTATATGAACAAATTATATCTCTAAATTATAAGTATCTCATTCACGAGTGGAAATATTATACTATTATTCTATTAAATTTAAACTATTGAAATATTATCTTTTTGTCTATCTTATACCTCAAATACCTCTATAAAAAACACAAAAATATTTAAAAAATATTAAACTTGATATAATTTACGTATTCTATTTTATATAATATTTAATTTTATAATTATTAGCTACACGCTCTGAGACAATTAAGGCGGAATTTACCGGATTACGGGATAAGCGTACCACTTGCGAATAACTTTAGACCACCGCAACCCCTTCATGATCGTATTGTTTGGGGAGGCCTTCGAAAATGTGATGGTATGCCATTACAACATAACATGTATCTTCTTTGTTACAAGAGTTCATCGCGGTAATTTTTATATTATTTGTTTAGAGCCTAACGATCACCATGTACGAACGTCCATATGTTTGTTACCTGAAACAAATGAGGACCATGACTAAAGCCGCACACATACGTAAATTTAATAAACGAGCAAATATATACAAGAGGAAATCCCATTAGACGACAATGGCATCGTATCCGTGGCATTACTTTTTAATCCCTATTTGCATTGCTACTCTCGGTCATGTAATTGTGATGACCGAAATATCATACAATCTAAGGATTATTACTTAACAAGTAATCCTGTAGTTTTCTTTTAAAAATATCTAATAAAGTAAATCTTGCAAATTAAGTCGGAAACTGTTCCATAATTTAGTAACACAATAATGACTTGACTGACCGTTTGTAAAATTCAGTGTGATACAGAAGCAAAGAGAAAGTGTTATTTTAAGCTCTATAGTGTCTCGCTGTGTCATGTTGCATTTATATTCAAATCAATTGTAAACGAATGCTTGCAGGAGCTTTATAATGCTCAATGGAATAATTTAAATTGTTTATGATTTAATTTCAAAAATTAATCTTAGGCCAATGAAGCTGATTAAACTATAGGGTGATATGTTCATTCTATCTGACTTGAAACGGGCATAAACGTTAAAAGCTTTCTACAGCCGTAAGTTATGTTCAGCTGAAATTAATGTCTATAAGGACGGAATAACACTGTCCGACAAAATTTGATTTCTTTTGTCTTCGTACTGTGAAGTGTCATTTCTCGGAGATTTTTGGTCGCTGAATTTGAATCCGCGCTCAGAAAAATTCTATCACGTCACATTTTTTAGGAAAATAAGATAACACAGGCCAAAAATGATGCTTTTGAACGTCATTGCGTGTAAAAGAATTTTATTTTTTCAATTTCATCCATATTATTTTAAACTGCTACCTTTTATCTTCAAAATAAATTTTGTTTTTGTTTTTGAAAGATTTTTTACACCGAGGTACATGGGTTTGAAGTTAGAGTTTAGACATATCATGTATAGCTATAACCTATAAGTAAGTGTTTTATCTTAGTTTGCACGTATATTTATTGTTGTGGTTGTGATTTGTGTTTCTTGGACTTGATATTCCGAGGTTAGCAGTCGCTAGAAGATCATTCAGCCACGATATGTGTACCTTCTCCAACCTCAGGTAAGTTCCAGACGACATAGTAATTTCAAACCCACATAACTTGATTTTTTTTAATCGTACAGAAATAAAGAAAAATTCATTTTTTCCTACATATTTGCTTAATTATGCTACGAAATGAAATAACATCGAGAATAAGTCAACTGTTTGTCAAAAACTCTGCTCTGTTGATTTTGTCTTTTAAAACACTCGGCACGTAAGCTTGATATTTCTCTACGTAATTACCATTACTGTAATACTGTGATTAAAAATGTAAACTGCTCAGAGCAAAGCAAGAAAATTTGCAAGAAAATCTTTGTGGTATTTATTTTAGATCGATTCTCGATATATGTATAATAACAAAAGAGGAAATAAATGACAACATGATCTCTGTATATTTACAGCAAATTATTACCAAGTAATAGATTATTGATTTCCGTTATACAAAAGATCGCTTTTGCTTTCAAGTTTTGAAAATAACGGTTTCTTTAATTTATAGCAAATTTTTACCAAGTAATAGATACTTATTGATTTTTCGTTATACAAAAGATCGCTTTTGCTTCCAAGTTTTAAAAATAACGATCTCTTAAACGGACCGAATGCGATGATTGATACGATACGATACGATTGATACGATTGGCTCATTGTCAAAGCAGGAATGTATACCGCGTCAGTGTAACTGAACAACGAGACAATAAGAATAACACAAGAAGTATTTGTGGAGTTAAAGGGATGTGGCGAAAGGGGTAAAGACACAGAGACAAATAAAAGCTGTTTGTTGAGTAGCAACATGAGTACAGAAAGATCAAGAGGAATCTAAATGAACATCAAGTATTTTGACGGAAGAAGAACGAGGAATTAATAAACAGTGGTCCTTATAAGTACCTTATAAGTACCATTGCAATACTCAAGGCGACAATTTTTTTGTTTATTTCAAGTAAAAAAGTTCGTATAAACATGTGTCCTAAGCGGCTTCGTATCCGAGATGTTTTCAAAAAAATTTAAACATATAAGTAGTAATAATATATTTACATTTGTAGTAATAATTTTAAATTTTTTTTTAAACCCTATATTCGAAAACTAAGCTGCTTAGAACACATGTTTATATAAACTTTTTTACTTGAAATAAACTAAAGAATTGTCCCCTTGAGTCTGGCACTTCGTATGAGTTTACAACTTTCCACGCGAAATGAGATTCCAATTAAAATCTATATTTAAATTTGAATTAAAATTTGATTTGGATTAGATTAATTTTTTTCAGAGTGAAGCTCTGCCTCCGTAGGCGAGGGAGGGGAGAGAGGGCAAAACTCACTATGAACACGCATACACTTTACAATGCAAAGCAAGATCCTACATAAGCTTATAACTTTTCACCCGAAGTTCCACATGGGTGTACATTTTCTATTTCGCGCAGATTTCGATCATGATAACGCATGCATGTGTATAGCCAAAGCTGCACATGTACGCAAATAAACGAGCACACAATAGGAAGTCTCATCAAGTGATAGCATCGTAGCCATCGTATTCATAGCACTACCTTAGTCCCAATTTGAATCGCTACTCACAGTATACACAATTATCGTTGTTCGCTTATATCTACTAATTGTATGCTCATATAAAGAGGGAGAAGGAGAACCGGAGAATAGAGAAAAGAGAGAGAGAGAGAGAGAGATTCGCGATTTCCCACTTTTGATATTCCGCGTTGTATAGTTGAGAATTTGTTATATATCTTCCAATATCGAATGTGAACACATAGCATAGCAAAATTATTGTTCTTCTTCTCTATATTATAGTGTATACCTAGAGCGTAATACAAACTACGTTCATTCTCGTGGAAATTTAATTTTGCGAGAGTTTTCTAATGGCATGCAATGTTGCATCAATTGTATTGATGACTAAAATAAAATTTTCGCATAAAGTAGACACCATATTTTTATAAATTCCAAACAAAATGATTATATTATCGCAGTAAAGTTGTTAATGTGCTGAATAATAAACATACAGTCGAGATTAAAAATATGTATTACGAGCTAATTATACGAGTGTAAAATATATGGCTTGTACACAATACATATTTGAGACGATTACATGATGGCATAATTATGTGTTTATATATAATATTTAGTCTGTCAGGATTCCAAGAATTGTTAAATTAATCCCATTTTGAATATACATATTATCAAGTAATATATATACTTACTTAAGAAAAGTCACAGGTAAATTATATTGCTTTTCTTCACTAATGTCTTTTTTTATATTTCATTTATATTCGTAAAATATTTCCTGGATATATGTAGAAAACATTTTGTTAACAAAAATTAAAATTAAACATTTTTAACAATAATAAAAAATAATCATTATTTATAATAGTCAAAGAAGTTATCGAGAGAGATACTTCGGATGACATCTACCACGTTTCAATTCAGGTATAACTCGGTGGATGAAGCAGTTCAAAAAGCTCTTCTGATAAATTTTAAAGTATACATTGCATTATATAAATAATACATTATTGATATTTATGTAACTGTAATATAAAACAATAAATAACAAAATTAAAAATTGCGATATGAGTAGATTATTTTCCAAAGTGTACGCAAGAAAGATCAATTTATCGATATTTCCTGCAACGTGAATAAGTAATATTACTATCAGTCGAGAATATTACGATAGTAGATAAATTTATATAAATAAAATGTTACGTTACTACAGTCAAATTTCTGTGTCGCAATGTTCCACCATCGATAAACGTGCATCTGCAATTTCCACGTGCTGGAAAAAGCAACGTGCATCCTCGCGTTCGAGTCGATCGAGTCACCCTCGTTTTAATTAAAGAAAAAAGACGGAGGTTGAATGAGAAAGTACCACTGATATGTATTTCAGTGGAATGTACGTATCAACTCTGCACGAGACACGAGTTAACGGTCTATACCACTCCACGAATGGGTTTGACAATGAAAGCCGGCATTGCAGCTGCATACGCATTCGCGCATAAGCACTCGTCCAGTAAGATGATTTCCCTAATTTGCCCGTTAGATCGACGAAAGGTTAATTAATCCGAAGTTCCGAACTGGAGTCAGCGAACTCCCGGGAGATCGGTCGATTTGATACCTTGACATACGTTTAATTAATCACGCACTAATTAACTCCGGCGTGATTAACTGCCCAGGATTTTTTTTGTTCATGCAGATTTCACCGAGAAGAATCAAGTTTATCGCACACGTTGTATCCTCCCTTTTATAAATCACTCTATGCATTCCCCGCTGCGCGTGGAGATGAACGTGAAGAGTCACGCGTGAATACATTAAAAATGTTTCCTACTGTAGGACGTGATCGTCAACGACGATAAAAACTTTGTAACGGAAATAAAACCTCGACGATAATTGCCACGGCGAATTTTTTTCACGTGCAACTAGACGTAAATTCTACGCCCGACGGTATCATAATTTCGCAATGTTAAACTAACTCGTGTAATACGACAGGAAGAGAAAGAATTATATAACGTGTACGTATTTCTGGCAACATTCCTCTGATAAAAAATATTTTAGATATTTAACTAAATATTTATTTTAACCTTCCAAATGAAGTATGATCGAATGAATTAAACGGAGCGCTAACGTGAAAAGCGAAAATCGTAACCAATAACATCGCCACTCACCACTGCTATAACATTCACGTTCGCATCGTATAGTTTTTATGTTTCTGAGGAACGATCAACATGGATGAAATATATTTGCTACGGTGACCGTTACGGCATAAAAAGCGCATAAATTATCCTAACAACTTGCGAGCGCGTGAATGTAAATTATTTAAGGGCTTAATGAAAGCACCAAGCGCAGAATTAAACTTTCCACGTTGTCATTCGGTGAATGCAATTTCCTTTTTCGGAAGTTGCATCGGCGTGCACGGGAGCAATATAAATGGCCTTAGGTGCGCGGATCAATATGTGCAAATATTGGTAAATTGCATACTTAAACAGTCTGATTTGTTGTCCCATAATTTAAGGTCATTACCAGGCACATAATTATGAAACACGATGGACTTGGGGCGATTAAATTAAGGTTAACGTAATTAAACCCGTCTGCCATCACACCACTTTAATCTCTTGATCACCATGTGGACTTTCAGAAATAAATTAGATCGTTTATTCAAATAAGTACGCCTCGATAAAATTGTTAATAAAATCATTTACTGTGAGAAAGCAAATGTTTACTTAATTTTGTTACAAAGAGGCCTTGTTATATAAATTTATAACATAGTATTATTTAAAACGTAACAATCTCATTTAAGAATAAAAATCATTCGATATCAGAATAAATTTTTATTGCCCCTTCGGGAATGACAATATTTTACACCGTCAAACTACGTTAGACATTTAAAAAAGATGAAAAATGGTATCAGCCAAAAATTTCAATATTAGTAAAAAATAAAAAATGAAATGCATCAGCGGAATTTTCATAATGATTCAAAAATTTTATACAAAAATAACTACTCCACTGGTCTGTAGAAAAACTCGCGCAGAACTCGTCGCGACTGCAACCGTTTTGAGCGCGACGAAACATTTTGATGCAATACTTGAAACGTACAAGATACAAAAGTTGTGAAGCAGCAAACTTGGGCAATTAAATTTCTCGCTCTCAAGCGCGCTATAAGAAATTATCTTGCGGTTGGACGACCATAAAGAGCAGACTCCACTTAGCATGCCCGCAGTTTCCAAGCAATATTTGCTGTGGCAAAACTGCAAATTTTAATTTGCTAGAAACGAATCTAACACAAGCGTAAGATTTTCGTTTCCGTACCTTTGACGATGGAAAGGCCGCATTGAAGTGATTTTTATAATATGTCATTTTTTTATGATTTATTAACCCATAAAAGTAATTGCAAAACAAACTCGAGAGAGAAAAAGAGCTTGTTGTTTATCTTGCGCATGATGAGTTCGCCTGCGGAAAAGATAATACGCACGAATATATTTTACATATCGAACAGACGTTTGCGAAAACATTTTGAGAAACTTCCACGGAAGACTGAACTCGAATTATTTATCGGATCTTCGCAGCGCGGAACTTCGCAACGCGCTGCAATATTCACTGATGCGACTTCTTCTTCCGACGACGACGAGTAGAAACTTTACGTGTTATTGCTTTAACACGAACAATATTTGAGCGATATTTTATACGTCTAATATGTTCGGATATATCGAGTCCAACGTCGAACCGAATTATATGCGTTCACTTGTCAGTAACTTTTCCCACGGCATTTCTGCATTCTGCAGTTACCCTCGTTACCTCGCGTGTAATCAGTTATACCACTTTTATCGCCCCTTCTTGAGGGAATGACACATGTCGTTTACAACGCTGTATAACATTTTACATGAATGGTTTTGCGTTTAAAACGACTTCGTCGTGAATAACCTTTATCGCGGCCTTAACTTAACAAGATCCTCGAGAAAAAAAATGTTCACAAGGATCTCGATGATATCGGAAGCTTGAATTATATATATATGTACTTGAAATCCGATAGGCGTGTATATACGGACGCGCGTTGCGCACGGTTAGCGTAACACAGTTATTACTGACGTGTAGTTACCTGCACGGCTTTAGTTGCTTTTCAATATGCGGGTACATGTTGTTCGTGCACACGGATTTTGTAATACACGTGAGACTTGTAGTCGTGTCAGATTACGGCTGGCAAAAACGGGAGAGATATCCAATAATAAAAACGTACATCGCATACACGTTGGTTAAGTAACTCGGTTTAACGAACGGCCTGTATCCTTTGACCACTATACCAAATAATTCAGATTTTTTTATGCATGAAAGTCCGTTTAATACGAAACATGTGCGCACGGGTTAAAAAAAAAACACATTTATTGAAAGTATACAAATTTCTGCTTCATGTACGGACTTTTTAGTCAATTTACGTGAACGACTTTTTTTTAACAATTTAAGCTTAAAATTTATTAATGTCAAATGTTTTGTTACAGTTAATATCCAATTCTGAATGAACTTCTTAAAGTAGCAAAAGTAAATTTGCAAAATGTTATCTAAAATAGCTTGAGATTAATTGAACAGCTAATTGAATTACTTTGTTATTTATTCTTACGTAAAAGTTATTATTAGCCAACGTTTATCGGCATTCCCCCATTTACGCAAAAGCGACTCCAGATTGATTAAAGAGCCTTGTACGTGTAAAGGAACACGCGGGGGATTCCAAGTCTTACTATTTACGCGCGTATCTGTCGTGGAGAGTCGAGAAGAAGATAGCGACTTGCCACTCGAACTAATAACGAGAGGAAACCAGGCTGATAATAGATGTTAAAGCATGGGAGAGAGAGAGAGAGAGAGAGAGCGAGCAAAAGTGCGATAGTGTCTATCGCGTCAGAGATTCACATGCACTTAGATAAAACGATGCCCCTTTGACCCGATGTCCAGTGTTTAAAAAAACGATACGTTCTTGCCGGCAAGACGTATGTACGGGCGGGACTTGGTCGGGGGAAAAGCTCTCGCATTTACGTCTCGCCGTCCGCGTCGCTCAAAGAAAGCCTTCGCCACGGCTGCATCCCCCGTGAATAACGTTCGTTATTCGTCCTGGAAGTGAGTTTATTACATTGTGAACGGGCACTACGGGGTTTTACAGCTAGGTATCCGGCAGGATATAAAACGTCGTTGGCATACAAAGTGCAAAAACGTAACCAGGTAGGGAATCCTTTCTCTCGTGACGTACCTCTCTCTTTCTCTCTCTCTCTCTCCTTCAGCTTTCTTATCTTCATTTATCTAACACCTTCGCGGTAGCTGAAACTCAAGCTACCTCCACCGCTCTGAAGAAATAGGAATAATGGATCCTATCGTTGTATTCTTTAACAAATCGATTTCTCCTAAGCGAGAATTTAATTACTCATCGCTATCTGCAAAAAAGGTCGCCAATCTCGTTCGAAAATGTTTTCATTATATCAAATGTCAGTTTAAATTCTCGTAGAATCTAACTAAAAATGTTGACAATTTTATTTTTAAAATTGAATACGTTAAATAGTCTTTTTTTAATAAAACATTTTTTAAATACACATTTGCCCACCAAGTGAAATAATATCAAGAATAGGTCAACCATAAATTTATCAAAAACTGCTCTGGTGTTGACTTCTTCTTTTAAAACACTCGGCACGTAAGCTTGATCGATATCTCGCTACGCTGTAATTACCGTTACTGTAACGCCGTGATTAAAAAAGTAAACTGCTCAGAGCAAAGCGAGAAATTCTTCGTGGCATTCATTGCTTTTAGATCGATTCTCGATATCGAATAACAAAGAGAGGAAATAAATGAATAAACATAAAGTCTGTTAGAAAATGCAAAAATATCGATTACTCTTTGTAATCTTTTGCATAGTTTGTGCGAATAAATGAATTTGAAACTACTTTGATGATGCTCATGTGTCACCAAGTTTTGTTGCATTTATTATTATACATACATATATATATTTGATAAGCAGCACGCCGCGACGTGAATCTGAGTTTATTAAATTATTTATTAATCTAACAATAAGCGGTATTTTTTAATACGATTTTACTTAACGATTCGAAATTTTGAATTCTTTTAATGCATGCATGAGAACCTGGCTTACCATTTTTATAGAAACTCATTAATTATTATTGAAAGTTCCGATTTTATTTCAAATAATTTTATAATTCTGTTAATACCTCTTTTAATGCCTACGAAGAAAGAAAGAAAAAGCGTTAACTGAGAAATAACGTTTAAGAAAGCGGTGATGCAACTTTATGCATCAACATCGATTTTGCGATGTATCTCTTTGCGGCAGAAAATCTGTTTCGCGAGAAGACGGACGATGTGCCATAATAACATTTGGTTTCGCATCACAGCGCGCGTTCGACGGCTGTATTATAATACATAGAAAATGGTGTGTATTATATTGCATACGGAGAGAAATTCGCCGCGAGACGAGACGAGAGCGCAATCGCGTGACTAGGCGCAGACAGGGGCGAGGAAACATTATTGAGCACGTGCACATAAATGTTTCTGAACAGGCTCGTATTTTACTTCATTCCGCACGATAAGAACCTTCCACCACCGTGATCCGAACAACTCATTTCTGACAACCCATTCATCGTTTTCCGCGGCACGTAACCTACTCTCCACGATTGCGCACTACTTTCAGACGCAGTCGGAACAGATAGAAAACGGCGGTACACACATTTCCTATTCCTATATACACATTTTCTATTATTCCAAGCATAATTAAAAATTTTGTAAGTTTGCAATTTCTGGTCGCGTGCGGCATATTATGACAATTGTTCTATTAGTACAATGTTCTGTAAGCTTTCGAACAAAATGTTTTCATTTCATATAACATTTAGTATTATATAATTTAATATAATAGCTTCCTTTGCTATTGAATATATTATAAAAAGAATTTGACACACCATTCGTACACACGAGTTCTCCGTATTATTCTATATATTAAGAGGTCGGAAATCTAAATTGATAACATGAATCATATCACAGTTACTCAATTTCGTCCACTGCTAAGAGTGTTTACAGATGTCTGTAGCCATTAGAGATACACAGTATCCCAACACTGTCGCGCTACTCCTCTTGATTACAGGAACTCGAGAATAAACTAAGAGAGACGATCGTTGTTTCAATGTTGCCAACGTCGCGGTAATTCTTAACTTACGATGGTTCGAAATTAGAGAGTTCAAATGGTATAAATCTAGACAACAAAATGCGTGTTAGGCAACAGATTTTCTACCGTAATACCGGAAATATCTCTCAATAGTGAATCGAACGTGTTTAAGGTTTGTTTAAGGTGGCAGTTCTCCGCGCCTAGCCTTCCAGGAAAGATACAGAAATGAGATTTTATTTCCCTCAACGTTTTCTGAGCGTGCTTCTGCTGCTCGTCGCTTTGACGTGCGCCGCACAAGCCAGCAGCCTCCGAGCGAGGCGTTCTGTCTGGAATGATATCGGAAACACATTGAACAACATCGGGCAGACAATCAAGGAAACCGTGAAGACCGAAATCGACTCTCTGCTCTACCGACTTTCGACCACCGATCCCGAAACGACCCAGCCGACCTTGGAACCGGAATGGAACGAAACGACGCTATCAGAAGAGAATTGTAAAACGGACGGTCGAGAAATCATAAATACTTCTATTAGATGCCCGCCTGATCATGTAATAGTAAATGGTAAATGTCGAATAAAAGTTCGTCGACGATAAGATTTCATTTTAAAAAATATTGAAAGATTCTTCATATATTTTCACAAATTTTCATCTATTAATAGTTCTTAAATTATAAAATCGAATTTTCCAAAATTAAATATAATATATTTTTAAAAAATATATTATTGTATTTTTTTAATTAATATAAACATCTTACATGTACATAATCATAATTCATTAGCATAGTCCAGAGAATATTTATTTATTCATATCGCACAGCTCTGAGAAAATTTAATTATATGCAGTAAGCGCTGTGACTTGGCAACTCGTAACTCGTCTATCTTTAAAGCCTGTAGGGTATTTATGGAAGATGTAACTATTTTACATTCATGCTACATCGGGGTACGACACATTCGTGACGTGTCAAATAATAACATAGTTACACATTTTACGATTATGTTAATATCAATTAACATGCGAAAACGTGCTGGTTATTAAACAATTATCCTTATACTATGTAACGCTTTGCTAAACAACACAGATATAGCTACTTTATATGGTAGTATATGCTTTATACTGATACGCTTATCAGGTAAATCACGATGTCGACATCAGGCTTGAGTAATAGCGTAATTATACACTTTATAAACGTGGTAATATCATCCACTGGCACTTTGACATAAATTAGTAATTAATTTTTCCAACTACTATAGGAGAAGGGCAAATGGTATTTGCCGTTTAACGCACTACTACACTCGTGGGACCTGATTCATTACGAGTATATTTATTGCTGCCCTCCCCCCCCGTAATTAAAAATTATACATATATATCCATATTGTTTAGGCGCTTTCTCGCTTGCCGCTCACGTCTCTGCGTAAATAAAGTCGAGCGGAATCTCGCTGCTGCTATACTTAGCGTTTTCTTTTACGATCTTCGGGCGATATTTCGCACTCGAGGCCCGCACTAAGTATACTCGTTCGATTTCTAAATTACACCTGTCACGGAATATAAAACGAGAGTTACGGAGGAAGGTGCGCGATAGATCGGGCGGTATAATAATGACGCGGCGATACATATCGAATTCCCTTTTAATGACTGTATCGCGTGTAAACTGTAAAAACGCGATCGAGGAGGTAGATAAGCGTATACATTTGTAGGATTAATATATCGTTTACTTCCCAACCGCGCAAAGCGCCGCCGCGCTATTGTTTCCCTTATCCGCCGCGTATTTCCTCAATTATCAATTACCAATTATTATGCCCGTGACACGGCTCTCCGCGCGCACGAGCAGCCGCACACTCGCGACTGATATACGCATACATTAAACAATTAACGTGGCATACGCATGTCTTCGCGATCGCGAATAAAAATCAATTGATTCGGTGAAGAATAATAATATTCTTAGTTGTATGTATATGAAATATAAACATTTGTTCTTCTAGAATTCGTACAATTGCAGTAAGAGGTTGATTGTAATCAATCCAAATCGACCTGTGTTACTACGCGCGAGATCTCAAATGTTTCGAGTTATTTAAGCTCGGACGATCTTTTCTCATCGCGAGATCGATAGAACACGAATATTTCATATAACGTCCAGCATCGTCTTCCAAACATCGGATCGCTTTCATTACGTTATACCGGAACGTTATTTTATCATTCATTTTACCGGCTTTTCCGCCTCCGCCGTAAAACGTACCTCTGTGAAGACAGGGCTCGTTCGGAATGACTGATTCAATTCGCGCTCCACCACTACGTTTCTTCTACACAACAAAGCGCTCTCGTGCTCCGCGGCGCTTTCGACTCGTCGTCGCCCCGGTGCGATATACCGGTGTTGGAGGGACTCCATATATAGAGTGCAGCTGTCGCTGAATGGAACGAGACCTGAATTTGCGTGATCGCTAATTGTGACTGCAATGCCTCTTTGTGACCACAGCGCGCGCTCCTACACTTCCCCACTTGCACACGTATATCCGTAGAGAGCCGGCCAGATTTCCTGCTCATTGTCAGAAGTAGACGGCCCTCTCGGCACTTGTTGCTCGCACATCGACATTTGTCTGGCGCGCCATTATATCGCGCTGCATTTCACTTCCGACGCCCGCACTCTTTGTCAAGTTAGGCTAGCGCGCGTCGCGCATCGAATCCAAGTGAAATGTGCATCCGCGCGTTTTGTCTTTTCAAGCGAGACCCTGGTAGAGTAGCAGGCTACTGGAAAAGGAAATCATAAAGGAAAATTGTGCCGCAGTGGTGCCTTACGTGTGGCATATCGACCGGTCGTCTTTCGAGAACCACAGTACTTCAGAACTTAAAATACAGAAAATCAAGGAGCAATGTCCGATTAAATAATTCAAAGCGAAGTAGTCCATATCAAAATATTTTCAACTAAAATTGAGTTATTATTACTGTTTTTTTTATGAACACGTTTCTATAAATGGTGTAAAAAAATACAATGTTAAAAAAAAAACCTTTAATAAAATCCAGATCAGTTCACGTGCAGATTATTTGAGTCAATGGAACGCGCGGGACATTGCAGCAGCAGGAAATCGGTGGACTCCCGCGGTTTTACGTAAAACCGCGGCCGAAAAAAGTCGTATTTTTTCTCCCAAGAACGTGATAACGTTTCACCATTATAATTCGCCATCACGACATTACGTCGTGTATTATTCTCGTCGGTATGGTAATCCTTTCTTTGCATCGCTTTATAGGAGCACCGTCTTTATTGGATTTTCGCGACCGACGACGTTTCTGTATTCGACTCTTGAAAAGAATGTTTCATCGCTACTATTCGAAGAAGTAACTTCGAGCGACTGTTCCTTACCTCTCTCCCTTTTTTTATTGTAGCTACTACTTGTTATTGCCGCATGTTCGGGCGGATCTCACGGCTGGGAATTCTTGGCGAGATGTCTTTTGTGGTAATTTGAAATTCAAATAGAAGGAAACATAATGCTTATAAACGATACGAAAATAAGATGGAATTCAATGTGTAAACTCCTAACGACTTTAAAATTAAAAGCGTAAATATATAAACAAGTATCTCCCTTTTTACGAAAATTAGAAATTCTTGTTTATTAATTATAATATATAATTAATAATATATAATTATAAATTAGAATTTCTTGATAAAATTATCAGTCTCTCGAAATCTGTTCTGTTTTAACGATTCGTTTTAGCAAACGTAGCGTCAATTAGAAGGAAATTTCGTTATCGTTTGTTATAATCTTTTAATATTTCGCAATAAATATCGCAAATTGTGTATAAAACTCCGAAGAGATCTATTTAAATTGAGATTAACAACAATGATTTGTTGTTTACTCACATCTGTTACGTAGTTATTCTGAAATACTTCCCCTGTGAATATTTTGGGAGTCATGCTGTGTCTCATCAGGTAAGAATCAAGATATTTCGGGTCTTATCCCAGATGCCTAGGTAATTTTCCGGACATTACCCATGACTTCGATTAACCGCTGGCTCCAAGTATCCGAGTGCAGAATGAAAAGAACATTACTCTTTGACTTAAAAGCAGAAGAAAAAAGGTATAAACCGTACAATGAAAAATATTGATTTTTTTTGTTAAATTACGCGAAAATGACTTTGCTCACTTCCGTCTTAATTTAAGCAAAGTTAGTCCGCAGATATATAATTCATTAATATTATTGTAGAACTAATCTATTTAAAGTTTTTAAAGTAGGAAAATTCGCTCCAGGAATTGTTTTCATTAATCTATTTTAGTCTGATCTTATTGCAATTTCCATGAAATTTTCAACTTGCAAATCAAAATAAGTATCTTTTTATAACAATTAGTGAATTATACAAATACTTAATTTTACGTATTTTAAAAGATTTAAAGAATTGTCAGACTACATTGTCTACATAACTCTTGTTTGAAAAAAAGATACGACAAGATATTTTTACGCTGAGATCATCATCATTCCTTTATCCGTCCTTTGTTTCATTCATCTGTGGAATTTCGTATTTGCAGTCTGCGCTGGGTGACTACTAATAAGTACGATATCGGAAACTGATAATAATTAGATCGCATTGCGAGTCAAAGCTAATAATAATGCACGAATTACTATTCATAAGCCGCGCCATGCTTGTAGCATCCAGTTATAGCAATTACGCGCCCAAACGATCGTTTAAAGAGTTGAAAGCCCTCCGAGATATTTACCGTTTTCCCCTGAGGAAAAGCGGGACGCACGAATTGCCTAATTTAACTTCCAAAATTTTGTTTATAAGGTAATCACCAATTTAATGTCGTATTTTCGACTTGAGTAATCATATAGTGGAGCGTTTTAGAACGTTCACGAAATATACGATATGGAAACGTTGTAGACGTTAATAACGGTTCTAAAGCTGCCCAAAGTTTTGACAGAACATAATGTCATATGACACGGCTAATTGCCTCTATACATTTTCGCAATGATGAACCGTTATGTCTCGTGTAAGTGGAACACTCCCGGTGTTAGTCAGACGAAACCGGCTGAGGGACCAGCTGTGATAAATATAATGAAATCTTAATGGGGCATGTACTCTTATTTTTCAAAGCACACGATCACCTCTCGCATCCCCTTAATCGATTTATTCGTTCGGACAGCTTTATTTATGAAAAACGTAATCTACAAACAATCTTTTTTTTCTCTACAAATAGATATATATTTACGCGCGTATCAAAATGATGTAAACGTATCAAAACGTTTGCATAATTTATCGCGCTTCAACATCCGTTTCCGCTTTGGTAATGGTTCCATAAATTTTCTCCTCTCCACACCTTTCCTGCGCAGTACCACTTTTTATGCCGCCTCTCGTCGTTAGACTATCGGACATCGACCAAAAACACCGCCCTGAATTTGTCCGGTGGCCATAGGCTTTCGGACCCGGCGGCGGCGGTCTCTTGACGTGTTCCCGAAAGAGGCAAACTAGTTTGCTCACGCCAGGGCGACACGATCGCCGGCCAAACACCCCCGCCCACGTTGTCTGGGGGGGAAAGCGCTTTTTACATTTTTGCATATCCATGAGCGTCCCGGTTCGCGCGCGGCCGAGCTAAGTCCGCAATATCGATAACCCATAATCGTCGTCGCTCGTCGCTGCCGCCGCCGTCGACGCCGCCGCTGCCGCCGCCGCCGCCGCCTCCGGCCGTCGTTGTGGAACGTGCCGACACGGGGCTCGCGGACATAAGTCTCGCGGTAAATCCAATATCCAAACAGGCGTGCATGTGCAACGGGCAATCAGATGCAGCCGCGAGAGTGCATTCGGACGTGTCTCATGGATTCGATCGGTCGCACGATCGTCCAAAAAGCCTCCCTCTTTCTCTCACTTTTCTGTTCTCTGTCTCTCGCGTGCACGACGGTGGACGGAACGTGGAGGACGACAACAACGACGACGACGACGACGACGACGACGACGACGGCGACGGCGACGACGACAACGGCAACGACGGCGACCTGCTGGAGAGCGGCGTTCACGGGGGGGCAATGCCGCTTTGAAAATCGATAAGCGCCTCCGCGTAGAGTCGACCAGTCAGGGGCTTTTCGGTGTATCCGCGCGCCGGAGATCCTGGCGGGGGCGCATGGTGACCTCGAAACGCCAACGCCAGAGGATCCCCGAGCGTAATTTCGCCCCGATGTGTCTATCGATATACCCACGGCAGGGAGCCGGAAGTCGCCGCCGTAAAGTTCCGCGGACCGATGTCGATGACAGGATTAACGCTAGGCGATGCCGCCTACATCCCCTGCCGTGGGAGGAGAGAGAGAGAGAGAGAGAGAGATAGCCGAGCTTTCTTCGTCGGTCGAGAGAAAATGCGAGGAAATTTACGGAAATAGAGGCGCTTCTACGAAGTTCCGTGCAGTGATATTCTCGGAACGTGGAATTAAATATAACTGTCTCATTCCGGAAACGTATACGGGCAGAATTTAGAAAACGAAAGTCATCTTTCACATTCGTAAATTGTATTAAACATTTATTCAGGTTGTATGTTTATAATTTTATCGTTCATGTTAACTTATTGATACATCAAATATATAAATAATATAGTATCACTAGTAATATAATATACATGTACTATACGTTTGTAACATTTTACTACCAGATACTGTAATATTTTTTAACGAACATGCGCGTTAATACATATCGTGCACCGTCTATAATCGCTGTCGTCGCGTAATACATCATGGCACACGTATGTACAAAAAGACTTTAATGATTCACGTGCCCGCTATTAATAAATCCATGCCAATCAAATTTCCGCAGCGCGATAATTATAATTCAAATATCCGTTCAAAGTTGTATATCTGCGTTTGTGGTGGTTCAAGAAATATCCAGACGGGATGGGATCAGTTTGCCGATATCCCCGATGGATTCTATAAATTCCTGGCATACTTCTCCGGAAAGCGGGAGCAACCCCGGGATCGACCGACCGAACGCCCGATATAATAGCGCGCTCTGGTTACGCGCGGCAAGTCCCGAGAAGAAAAGAAACGCGAATCCGATGGCGGGAGAGGGACGAAGGGTAAAGGCGGGAGAGAGAGAGAGAGAGAGAGAGAGAGAGAGAGAGAGAGAGAGAGAGGAAGGGGGAGAAGGGAGAGGGATACGCTCCAAGATTTTCCGACCCTCGATCCCTCTCCCTTTTGTGCAATCGAGCGCCGCCGCTTGCATACAAAGGGAAGGGAAATTGCGGAGAGCGGCTTCGAGGTCGCGCTCTACGACATTGCGCCCTTATCCGGCTTACGATTCCGGACGCTTCTCGCAAGAGAGCGGGGCTCGCCTCCTGCCGAAGGAGCGCAACCCACCCCCTTTGAGGCAAATAGGTCAATTCGCCGTAATTCGAGCCGGCTCGCGCGGGATTCCTTCGTAACTGTAAGGAGAGAGAACGGAGAAGCGCGTCTCCGCGGGTGTCCCTTTCTCTCGTGCCTTCTGCCTGTTCCGTTTCCTCTTGTCCCGACTCACGCCAAGCGGCTCGAGTGCGCAAACGTCCTGACGAGGACAACGACGACGACGACGACGACGACGACGAGAACAACGATGGATGCGAGCGAGCGAGCGAACGTGCGAGCGAACGGAGGCACGAGAGTCTCGTCCCCCCGTGTCCGGACGCGTCGATGCGGCGGCCGAACAAGCGCGAACGTAGCGAGCGAGCTGAGCGGGACGCGCAGGAGGAACGAATACGAAATAGATCGCGCGCGCGAGAGGGCGAAGAAGGAGAGGGAAGGGGGGAGAGAGTGTGAGAGAGAGAGAGAGAGAGAGAGAGAGAGATGGATAGAGAGAGGACGGAGGAGAGAGCGCGCACGCGAGGGCTGAGAGGAAGGACACACCTGGCGCGTGCGCCACGATACCGTCGAGAGCGAAAGAGAGACGCCGTGAGGGTGGCTGGGCGTGCGAGGGAAAGAGAAAAGGATCGAGCGAGAGTAGGGGTGCAGGGGGGGTTGAGGACGCGCGCGCGAGGAGGGACGTATACAGTCGCCTCGTAGGGCAGTCGTTCCTCCTTCGTCGTTCCTTCGTCGCCGTGCGCTTTTAACGAAATTATTCCGTGATCGGGGAAAAAAGAAATTCGGAGCAGGACAGGAGGAAGCGGAGGAATACAGGAGGGTAGCGGAGAACAAACGACAAGGGAGTATCCGTGGGAAGCTCTCGGGCGCCGGGCCGCGAACCTGCCGCGACGCGCACGGCGGCATCGTCCTCCGGCGGCATCGTCCTCGACGGGGACACCGGCCTGCGTGGCGCGCGTCGTCGTGGCCGCGGTCGACGGCGAAATCGGTGGAAGAAGTGGTGCGCCGGCGGAGAAGGAGGAGGAGGAGGAAAAGAAAGACGTCGTCCTTTTCGTCGTCCACGGTCAGTATCCCCTAGTGGCCTTAACGAGCGAACGAGAGGCGAATCGTAACGGCGGCGGACTATCTCTCTCTCTCTCTCTCTCTCTCTCTCTCTCTCTCTCTCTCTTTCTCTCCAGGGGATATGTAGAGTTTCGCCGGCTTGAGCGCGCGAGGTCGACTCGTCGACGAGAGAGACCGGGAAGCGTCAGGACGGCGCGGAGAAACATCGCTCCGCGATCGCCGCTTATTGATTTCCGCAAGGCAGACGCCGCGCGCGTTCCCCATTTCGCGTTCTCGTCACGCGAATTTTCGGCCGCACCGTTCGTTCGTCGCCGCGTCGCGGCGTTTCGCGTCGCGGACCCCGCGATCGATTCGCGCGCGCTCCTGCCCCCGTCGCACCTGCGTGTACCTACTCTCTTTCTCTCTATCTTGCTCTTCCTCCGTTTCTCCTTTCTCTCTCTCTCTCTCTCTCTCTCTCTCTATCTCTCTCTCTCTCTCTCTTCCCATTTCCCTCTACTTCTCAATCATCCTCGATCAGTAACCATACAGCTCCCCCGCTTCCGCATCGAATGTGTTGAAGACGGTTTAGTTACCGTTGACAGGATAACGTCAGGATGTGTCTTCGTCGCGTGACTGCGCGCGGCGGCGTCGCGGATGCGATATGAGAGGCAAGACGATCCCAGGTATGAGGTAGCGAGCAATTGAAGCATGAAGCTATAAGTAGAAGCGATCAAGTAGAAGCTTGGGTATGAGGAAGCAGGAAATAGAGATGTGTAAGGGAAAATGCGGTGTGGGAGAATACAGCGTATGAGGCAGTAGAAGCCGATTAAAGTATGGAATCGCGATTTACAAGAGGGAAGCAATCGAAGCGGAAAGCGATCGAGAGATGTGAGAGAGACGCGTCGATACAGCGCGACGTGAGAAAAGGGAGGATCGGTGAGAGACACTCTTATTCTCTGTGTGAAACGAGGCACCCCACGTCGGTCCTTACCGCCGCGTTGTATGGGATTCGGAACGCGCGGATGGAATGTTTGTTGCACGGGATGGAGCGAAGCTCGCCAGCGGTGGGTACATCGTTCGATTAATCGATTAGCGGTGATAACAATTTGAGTTTGGCCACTCGCTCGGCCTGGAAACGCGAAGCAACAAGAGACGAACGCTTGCACTCTGGTAATACGGTAAATCGATCAAGATTCCTACGCGCATCGTTTCCCGTGGGTCTGACGAAATCCCGCGAAATATCGAGTTAATCTCCTTCGAGTCGCTAAATAAAATCTAACAAGGCTGAATTACTGCAAGTATCAATTTATGGTAAATTATTTCGAATAATATAGCGACAATTTGACATTCCTTTTCGCGCGAGTAAAGTAAATAATTAAACTGACCAAATTAGATTAAATAATATCATAGCATAGAGCATCTCTCACTGATTAATGACATATCTATTTATATCTGACACATATCTAAAAAAAAAAATGGTATATCATTAACTGATTCTCAAAGTTCGCACAAAATTAATGGTAATCCTGAGTATAATTGTTATTGTTTTCAACAGTTACTCTGCTGAAATTATTAGATAATAATATCGATAAGTTTTGTAAAATTCTATTTTCGTAAAACTCGAGTTTCTTTTCTAACGATTTTATTTTATTTTATTTTTGTTCAATTGACAATCGTAGTACAAATCTTCTAAAAATAAACTGGAATGTAATCAAAATCCACTTTACTAAATATCACTGACATTTCTCTAAATGCCACGTTATTTGTCTAACAAAAAACATTTTGAAAAATTCAAAATGTCGGAGTACAGTATCAAATTTATCTTTGCCACTTTTGGAACGTTTCACACTTTAAAAATTTAAACGAATCTGTCATCGAAATAAATAAAAAACAGGAAATAATGGCGATGCAACGATGATTAGAGAGCGCCGTTTTTTTTATTGATGCAAGAGTTCCCTTTAACTAAGTTTAGTTTTCCGTCAGTAATTCCTTTAGTAATTCCCTCTCTATATTTATATCATGAATATAGTTACAATATAATATTATTTACTTAATCTAGGAATCAGTCAATAACTTTGATTTGAGTCAATTCAACTTATATAATCTGAACGATCGGCTGCTATTTTTTTCGTCGCACTCGCATCACCTAAATTTACACCCGATGAGAATTCAACGGTGAATACAAACTTCTGGCGTTTTGGGAGAAAGTCCGTTTGTATCGGTCGATAGGCGACTAAAGCAGGATGAAGTGGCTACGTGCGAAGCACGATCGATGGGCGCGAGGGCTTGAGATATTTCAACGCCGAGTTTCGATGCGCGATAAAAGTATCTATCTCGAAGACACATCGGCGAAGTCAAGGCGAGAGGAAGAGAAACAAAGAGAGAAAGAGAGAGGAGAGAAGGAGATAGAGATAGAGAGGAGATAGAGAGGAAGAGAGAAAGAGAGAAAGCCGCGCGGCTGACGCGGCAACGACGAAGAGTGTGGCTACCCTTTGAAATTCACGAGCGTACGGAGAGCACGTACTCTGTCTCTCTTCTCTCTCTTCTCTCTTTCTCTCTCTCTCTCTTCCTCTGGCGGAAGTCTTCTTTCTCTTCTTTTTTTTCTTCTTCTTCGCGTGGACGGACGTGTGGAGATCCGATCGATCGATCGAAGCGAGCCGCGCACTCGAGTTTTCCCTGACCTAAGAATACACCGGCTCGAGTGCCGTGGAGAAACCCGGGGTGGAGTGGACTCCAGAATGGACCAGAGTGGGGATCGAGCGAGGAGAGAACCCCGCCCCCGTTTAAGCGACGCCGGACAACGATGACTGCGGATTTTGTCTCTTCTTTCTTTGCTCGCATTTGCTCAGACTCGTATCTCACTCGGTACTTTCTTTGTCGCTGCTCGTGTTCTCCGCAAGAATACCGCGAATGGCGAGAAAGAGAGACAAAGGGAGAGCCTTTTCCCTCGCTGAGGACAACGGATGACCGATCTGATTTCGGACCTGTTGTAACGGCACGCCGAATACGCGAGAATTCGCACGGCCGAGAATCGCGACCGTTATCGTGCCACGCGATAACCCTCTCGTGCGGAACGAGCGTCGGAGATGCAAATTCGACGTCGATGTTCGTCGGCGTCGGAGTCGTCGCGTTGCGTGACGCCGAGCGATTAGATTAGAACCCGACGACGGCGGTTCGCGGATTTTCTTCCTTTTTTTTTATACTCTTTTTGAAAGGGCGGTGCGGTTGACGGATCAATTACGTTATCGCGGATCGTCAAGTTTCTCTCCCTTGAAAGTTACCGGGTTCGTCGGAGTCTCTCGTGGGTGGTTCAGGCTGTTGAAGTTACCCGAGAGGGCGAAAGTCGCGACCTCCGCGGGCCTCGTAGAGGCACGTGAGAGGGTGCGCGACACGCGAGCACTTTCGAGCCCAGACCGTGAATCAACTGGTTCTCCTTCTCTCTGTGTCGCAGAAACGAGCCGAATGATGTTCAATTGACGAAGACCGCGCAGCGCTAGGAATGGCCCCCTTCAGTTCCGTCTTCCTGGGTGTCTGGGGAGTGTTTGTTGTCATTTTGATAAAAGGTTCGTACCACACATACACTTTGTGTTTCAACATTTTACGACACATGATCTCATCTCAAAGTATAGAAAAATCTTGATGTTTCCACTATCGACCCTATAAATTATTTTTAACGCATATCATAAAAATATCTTTTTCCTTTTTTTTTTATCTTATGTAAAACAGTATTATGTAAACTGAAACAAACATATTCGATAAAAGCTTAATTTAGCTGACAATGTATTTTAATTCTAATATATTTATAAAATTTTTACGTTATTATTATTATTAAATCTTTATACATATAAGAAATGGAAGCGTATTAGAAACTTTTCACTCCATTGGACATTGGATCATAATTCGGTGATTATATATGGTATGTTGCGCTATTAGAAGCGATTATGAAGTCCGACACAATTATCTAATGCGATTCGATTTGCACAAAGAGTCCTTTGTCCCTTCTCGGCGCGAAACAATGTACATTTATCCGAGCCTCATAAAGTTATGCTGAATTATCGGATTTCTCATGGAGATTATATCGCTCGTTAATAACAAAACATTTGCAGAGTCGACACCCGTTAGCTGGGAAGAATGGTGGACATACGACGGTATTTCTGGTAAGCCATCCGGATCGATTGTTTTTATATTATATATCATTTTTATTGTTTTATATCATTATCATATAATATTCCCTTCTTTTCTATTATCTAACATGACTCATAAAAAAAAATGTCCTCGATTAATTCAAAGGTCCTGCCTTTTGGGGTCTTATCAACCCAGAATGGTGGCTCTGTAACAAAGGTCGAAGACAATCACCAGTCAATCTTGAGCCTACTCAACTGCTTTTCGACCCAAATTTACAACCGCTTCACATGGACAAGCACAGAATCAACGGCGTACTAGCGAACACCGGCCACAGCGTCGTGTTCGCCGTGGAAAACGACACCCGCCATCCCGTCAACATCTCCGGCGGTCCGCTCAGTTATCGTTATCAGTTTCACGAGATTCATCTGCACTTCGGCGCGGACGATCGTATCGGCAGCGAGCACACCGTCGACGGACATGCATTCCCTGCCGAGGTACGGAAACGACAGAGACAAATAAAATATTTAAAGTGCTCCGACATTCCGCGCGATCTTTTCCGCTTCCGACTTCAAAGCTTGTTTGTGGAAATCAAGGTTTTAATCCAAATTAAATTCTCGTTGATGCGCTAAGTAAAGAGATAGTACTGTTTCGTTAAAAACAAAAAAAAGAAAGTTCTTTAATCTTGAGTCTCTAAAATACGTACAAAGCCCTTTGTTCTCGTAGCTTCAGATATTCGGCTTCAACTCGCAGCTCTACAACAACTTCTCGGACGCTCTACACAGAGCGCAGGGGATCGTCGCGGTATCGCTTCTTTTGCAGGTATATGCCCATTGATGCTTATCGCATGTCGAATAAAGATCGGAATAAACGATACATCATAGGCCATCTCGGTCCTTTTCTAGGTGGGCGATCTCTCGAATCCGGAGCTGAGAACGTTCACGCAGCAGCTGGATAAAATCAAATACGGAGGTGAGAAATCCAATAACGTAACGAATTCTGAAATAACAGTGCGACGCGGGAGGGGGGGGGTAGCGATCAATTTAGTGAAAACGATAATCTAATTTTAGCTGACGAATTTTAGCTGCGCGAGTTTAAAATTCTCAGGGAGTTCTCATATCTGTCAAGATTAGCATATCGAACTAATTAATGCGGGATTATATTTCTTTCATAACGACGCGGCGGTATATTTATAATAAAATATTATTTCTCACAGTGGTTACTGAACAGCGACATTTAAATTCAATTAATATTTTATCATCGAGACGCATTCAGAAGTTTCTCCGACGAATTAATAATTAATAAATACTTCTTTTTTTCTTAATAAAGTTATATGTTGAGATAGAAATACATTCGAATGAAAAAGTTACAAGATTGATGCATCTTCGAAAGTTTGATGGCGGCATGCGTTATAACTTTCTAAAAACTTCGCGCGGGGTATTGTCGCCAACTTTTTGCCAAGAAGATAAATCGATAATTACCATCATTCTTTAAGGGAACGCAAGTGTTCCTTGACGTATGCAAATACGATCGAGCGGTTATGCACGATAACTTTAGCGATACGTAACAATATACGTATCAGCTGTGTGTACCGGCGGCGTCGGACGGCAATCGGGCAGTAACACGCGTACACCGCACGTGTATGCATACGTGTACGTGAACGGAGTTGACGTTATCGATCGTATGAATTGCACAGGGCAGGCCATGGAAATTAAACGTTTCGGGGTGCGCGAACTTCTGCCGGACACGAAGCATTACATGACGTACGACGGCTCCACCACGATGCCGGCGTGTCACGAGACCACCACATGGATCATCCTCAACAAGCCTATATACATCACCAAGCAGCAGGCAAGTATCGCCACTCTCTCCGCCGGCTTTTATAAAATGCATGCACACGCCCCCGCACTCGAGGTTGTTCGCGCGCGCGACGCCAAGTATACGTATATAGCGGCCGCACTCAATTATGCAATTCCGATCATTAAGAGGGACAGAGTCTTTGAAACATCGAGGAACGCCGGCCGTTCTTCACGAGTCGCTAAAGTAAGTTGCGAAATAAGGGTGGAAATGAGGCACTTACTAAGCTCGTATCTTGAAGCAATGCAATCATAAATCACACTTGAGTTTTACAAGAATTTCTAAAAAAAATTCTATATTTACTTGTTTTTTCCTTCAAGCGTAAAATTTAACAAGAGACATTTTGATCTTAAGAATAATGAATAAATTCTCTCTCTACGGGTGTAATAATAACAAAAGTATCTATAAAAAATCTGGTTTCTTACGATAATCTTGTTTTAACGCTTGAAATATATATCGGCGAATACATAATTAATACAATGAGTTGCTACTTAGTTTTTCTCAAGTTAATAAAAGCAGCAGACTTTATTAATAGAATCGAGTTTCATTGAGAGATCTTATAAAAATAGCTTTGTACAGTAAACCAACAAATGTTTTGTTTTTGATGTATAACTTAAGCAACTCCACGCTCATATAATAATATTTGTGATAATCGATCACGTATTTAAATTAGCTGTCCCATCAGCATTGCAAATTTTGTTATTATTGATACCAATCGCATTTATCCAGGCAACAAAATCACTTGTATCTCGTACCATGTTATTTAATAACAAATGTTGATTCGGATTAAAGATCGTTTTTATTTTTTATCTTTTCAGTATATTTATGTAAAATGATCAAGCTTACTCATAATTATAAATACAAAAACGAACACATTAAAAACAATTACCTCACGTGAACAAATTATAAGTATCTCATTCATAAAAAATATTATTATATATTATTCATCTGTTAAATTAAATCTATTTACTAGAATCTTTTTATCTATCTTACATCTCTAAAAGAAAAACGCCATTAAAAATATTAAATTCAATATTATTAATATATATTCTGTTTTATATTATAATTCTTATTTTTGTAATGATTGCAGCTACACGCTTTGAGACAGTTAATGCAAGGGGACGAAAAGCAGCCAAACGCGCCACTTGCGAATAACTTTAGACCACCGCAACCCCTTCATCATCGTCCCGTTCGGACAAACATTGATTTCAATGTTCAGGTATGCCATAAAGGCACAACATGTATCTTCCCTGTTACAAAAATAATCACGCTAATTTTTGTGTTCAGGGTCCGAAGAATTGTCCGACAATGAACAGGGACATATATTACAAAGGTATTGAGCAAAATTAATAACAGGCTTTTATAGCAGATCCATAAAATAGAGTTGCTATATATATTCCAATAAATAAAATTTATAAAATTTCCTAGTTTTCTGTTTTTATTTTAAATTATGAGAATCTTTGTTGGATCACTATATATATAATCTTTTTGCTTAGGAGCTGTCACAGCTTATAAAAAAATTTTTTATTAAAATCATTCTGTTGTGTGCCTTTTCAGCCAATAGCTGGAAATAATACCCAGCACTGCCGTGAGGTCGACATTCGCAGTAACTACGCTTCTCCGAGGAACGAGCTGGAACTTCGCTGTAAGGAAAAAAATTGACATATCAATTACAGGCGGGTGACGCCAGGTCACAAAAAAAATTACGGCAGATAGAACGCGCGAAGAGGACGACCGACGACGCCCATGTTGTGGTCGAGATTTAAAAAAAAAATGCTTCGTTGTACTTATTAGACGTGAATTGCCAAGTATGTTTCCAGTTAAATCAGAAGAAGAAAAACCAAATATACCTATAGATCACAAGTTAGACGAGATAAGCTAATCGTAAGATCTATTATTATATATATATCGGTAAACTATCGAAAAAAAAGCTATGACTATCGTGGCCTGCGCGAGGGGTTGAGAGATGCAATTATATGTATAAAAATTCACGCGCAACGGAGAGCGCTATCGCGAGCAAAAGTTTATACTATATTCTTGTAATAAAAGCTTGAAAAAACGCAGAAAATGAGACGTTTCCCGACAGTTTTGCTCGATTTTCCTCTACCCAATTAATTACTCTCGTGTAAAGGAATTCTTACTATCCTCATAGTAAAATTCGTTATCTAAACAATGACTATCAATAACCTGAATTTATTTTGTAATAAATGCTCAAAAGTCGCACTTTACTTTGGCAAGTGCGGTTGAGTTCCTTCATCATCTTTCGCTAATTAAAAGATCCGTTTCCCATTATAACGTCATTGATTTTCCATAATCCCTTCACGGATTTTGTTACCTAAACAATAGCTGTCTATCTACGCTTCGATATAGTTAGTAACTTTCGAAGCTCTGTCCGCAAAGTAGTGATGCCACTGATAGGTCAGACCGAAGTTTAAGTTTGCAGGGACCTGAACTGGAGATACCGCGAGTGCACCTAGTCGATAACGCAGAATTCGCGGGCAGGACCCGGTTAATCCCCAGCTCGGCGTTCAAACGTAGCCTCAACGTCGGCGTCGCGGCTGTCCGGAGGGAAAATCGATCCCTCTTGAACGAAGTAGCTGCGCCTGCACCAGTCAGACCATTATCAGCTTTCAGCGGATTCCGCGCTGTCGCGCCTCTATCGCTTCACGTCCTTGTAGTGACCGATTCCGCTGAGGTACGTGAAGTAATCTTCTCGGCGGAATTCTTGCCTCACGAGAGAGACGAAGGCGTACTAAAGAAGAGTCTTAAAGAACGTTGAAGGAGTAAGTGGGTAGGGGGGTTGAATGTAGGAAGGGGATGATATTACTATCATTGAACCGCTACCCAGAATTCGACGGTGCTGCCCGCAAACGGCTATGCGACTAGGAAACCGGAAAGGGTGAACGGCACACAGCGGGGTGTACTGAGAGAGCAAGAGCAAGAGGGAGGGAGGGAGTGAGGGAAAGAGAGAGAAAGAGAAGGAGGGAGGGAGGGAGAAAGAGAAAAGGGAACGTAAAGGGGGAAGGTTTGAGGGAGGAAAAGGGTGAACGCGGAGGCAGAGGGTGGAGGGCGCAGAGGAGAGGGCGCCGCGTGCGCGAGAGAGGGACGGGTACGCGGATACAGATCTGTCGTGTCGGTGGCCGCTGCGGCAAATCTGCGGCTCTCCGCGGCCGTTCATCGAAAGACGAAGAGTGACCGGACGTGGTATTAGGGCACCCGGCCTGGATTTGGGTGCCGTCGCGCTGCTCGCGATCGTCCGAAACGATCGCCCGGAGTGCCTCCCGAATAAACCTGAGACCGTACCCTCCAGAGGGATGAGGGGCTCCGATAATGAAACGATCTTCGCGCGATCTCTGTCACGTCCTTCGCGTAGTTCAGCAGAGATCGAATTTGACCAAAGTGACTTGTGCGAATGCCCGTTGTCGCCGAGGCTCCGCCGGTACGGAGATTAATTGATCGGCGAAGAGAGGAAAGCGTTGGAGGACATCGATGTCAGTCGACGACCTCATGGCGCAGGTGGGGGGTATCCTCTCGTGAGAGCGAACACGGAGAAGTTCACGGCGGAGAGTACGTGCGGTGGAGGAGGAAACGTCGACAAGTGCGTGTAACGACGTCGGGACGCATCGCCATTTGTTTCGGAGCAGGAAAGAAACGACAGAGCGTTTGCACTTCCGTTCCTCGCGGGAGTTCCGACGCTGTGGACAGTCGCGTTCGCGAAGATCGTTTCGTCGCTCCCGATTGAATCTCTTGGTACGCGACCGCGACGGTGTTACAGTCAACAAAGTTTGCGAGAAATCGCCGGACCGAGGAGCGGAAAGCTGTGTGGGAGAACGGTTGCGCGACATGGAGTCGATGGAATTCCGAGGGTGTGAGGCACAGTGTACGCTCGTCTTTAAGGTCGGCGGGAGGCTGTAAGCGGTCCCGTGATTGGTTAAACGCGTCCGCGGGAATCTTTTTCGCCCTGTTACATGCGCTAATTCGAGTTCACGAGGCGAGTTTACGTGTTTGAGGTAAACTGATGAGGGCCTGCGGTTGATGGCCGACCGACATCGCGTTCATCAGGTCAGCCGAAGATCGGCCAACACCGTGGGGGAAAGGGACGAGGAGAGGCCGAAAGGGGATCTCAGTTGATCGGCGAAGTTCAGCATCGCGATCGACGTCGCTAATTCGCGCGACGAGGCGCCGTGACGACGTTTACGAGCTAGATGGACTCTGGTAAACTGAAACTACCGCTACTGCCCGCCGCCAATTCGACGGGAAACTTTCGCCCAACTCAATTACGCCGTGTCATATTCCGCGCCTGCGAGAGCCAGCGGAAAGGTGACACCGACCTACTCTTCGCCGCAACTCGGCGAGCTCGTGTTCCATGAAAGAGCTAATCGTGGTACCACGGACGCTTCTTCGCGATTAATTTATGATAAGTGTAGTAAAGCCGCCTGGTGTGGATTACGACGCGCGCCGACGGGGAGGGGGGTTGTTAGTAGCACCGTTAGCGAATTCAGCAATTAATATGGCGAGACAGGCATATTCCGTCGTTGATTAATATGCTGACCGCATAGAGGAGCAGCACCGCGAGGCGAGATTTAAAATTCATATCGGTCGCATAATCGATAGTTTGTCACGCGCGCTCTCTTTTTAAATTCGATTCTACTTATGTGAGTTGCATATTAAATAAACAGCGTCGTGCGATCGTCGCGGGCCTCGAGCGGGGAATTCGTCCTGACCACCTCGCACACGAGTAAGTGTTCCATTGACATCGGCAATAACGTTAAGAATACAATTTATATAAGACTCGTAATCTTCTTCCAGATTAAGTCGCGGTGGCAGTTATAAAGGAGAGTGGCTGGCTGACTGGCTGGCTTACGGTCCGCGCACGCTTATGGCGCTCACTTAATCAGGATGAGATCTGAGAATTCGCTGACAATGCTGCTGGTGCGACGGAACCTGGAGAACTGGTCTGCGAAATGAATACTCCTGAGAGAAACAATGGAAGCGTCCACGCGAGCATGACGACCTCATTCGGTGTCGCGGACGGCGCGCTTAGACGGCCAGAAACGAGACCCACGAGTAAGACTGAGAAACTTCTCGCCCGTAATTCTGTTTTCTCCCTTTTGTTCCACTCGCGCGACGTTGCCCGGCATTCCCACGCACTCCGTTGTGTCATCCGTTTTAAACACCCACGGACTTTCGAGTAAAAATATAACTTTTGCATATAAAATTTGTCTATCATAAATTCACTGGAAATCGAGGAATCGTGATGAACGATCGTTTCGTATTAGCTCTTTCCCGGCTCGAGACGAGTTCTCCTCTAATCTGTCGCGAGCTATCTGTTATTCCAGCAATGTAATATTTCTCCTTTTATGCGCGACATCTTTTGTACGCCGACATTCTATTCTTCCGCCCATATTAAATTCCTATTTTCCGGTAGTGATAGCAGTTCGCACTCGCTTCATTCTTTCGTTCGAACTCGTCTAACGGTGTCTGACGACGATAAATTTGTCGCGACGTGAGCGCGAACCTTTGATGAGATGCCGCGGCAACCGCAAAGTATCGAGTACACAAACAATCGATTACGCGGCGGTACGCTGACGCAAGGCCTTTGTTTCGCAGGTCGTCAGTGAAACGGAGAAGTATCGTCACTGTCGTCGTTGTCGTCGTCGTCGCTCTGTTGTGGTGGAGTCAGCTGCCTGTTCTCGCCTCGAGGCGAAAAGGAAATCGGACGAGATCAGCAGACATCGGGTAGACACCGATAAAAGGACGGTGTTATGTTAGTGACAAGGCCTCACCCTCTAGGAGGGCATATACTACTCGCCCTCTTCCTTTTAACGGGGTGTTTCGCCTTGCTGTCACGGGCGGCCGCCTTCCCGGACTGGACCGACTGCCCCGCGGTTTGCCGATGCAAGTGGACATCCGGCAAGAAGTCCGCCCTGTGCCCGGACGCCGGCCTGACGTCGCTACCGGCGTCCCTCGACCCGGACATGCAGGTGCTCGACCTGTCCGGCAACAAGATACCCGCTCTGAAGGCGGAGATATTCAAAACGGCCGGTCTGCTAAATCTGCAACGGGTCTTTCTGCGTAATGCAGGCATCCACAGTATACACGCGGACTCTTTCAAGGACATGAGGATACTCATCGAGATCGATCTGTCGGACAATCACGTGACGGTCTTGGAGCCGAACACATTCCTCGGGAACGAACGCCTGCGCATTTTGATACTCAGCGGGAATCCGCTCGGTACTCTACGTAATCTACAGTTTCCTGTGCTGCAGCATCTGCGAAATTTGGAGTTGGAACGATGCTCCTTGACTGAGATACACGGACAGGCTTTTGCCCGGTTAACCGGCTTAGAATCTTTAAAGTTGGACGCTAATCAACTAGAATATCTGGAGGCCTCGGTGATATCCGGTTTATCTCATTTGAAAACCCTATCGCTGGACGGCAACCGATGGAGATGCGACTGCAGAATGCGAGAATTCCGCACCTGGCTTATCTCCGACGTACCCAGTAAGCTGTACTCCGTGCCGCAGATCTGTTCAGGTCCGCAGAGGCTGAAAGGCCGTAGATGGGAGAACGTGAAACCTACGGAATTCGCCTGCGAACCGAAAGTATACCTTCTGCCGAACAGCATACAAGAGGAGACCAACGGTAATCTCAGCCTGGCGTGTCGAGCGAGCGGCGATCCCGAGCCAGAAGTTTGGTGGCAACTGAACGGCGGACCGATCAACGCTACCAAATCGACTGATCAACCCTACATGGGGACTCTCGTCGTTTACACAACGTCCGAGGCTAGCATGCCCTCCAACGACAAGTCCGCGTCGTCCAGGACCGTCGCGGACCGATGGAGTAACCTGACCGTTTACAACGTCAGCGACAGCGACGCCGGCGAATACACCTGTTTTGCGAAGAATATCGCCGGCCTCGCGCAGGACACGACCAGCGTGGCGATACCTCGCGTCTATACGGCCCCGACTCTCTCCCAGAGCGACAACTGGTTGCTCTGGGTAAGTTTGGCTGGAGGCGGCGCGGCCGCCGCGTGTGCCTCCATCTCGGCCGTATTGCTGGTTCTCTGTTTATGCGGCGGAAGTCGGCGGCACAGCAAACGGGAGAAGGTGAAGTTGCAGGGCAGCAGCAGTTTCGGCGATCAGGAGAAGAAGCTGCTGGATCTGTCCGTGACCACCACCACGACACCCGGTAACAGCAACGATCGCGGCAGCGGTCACGGCAGCCTCGGAGAAGCGTGCAGCACCGGTGACCTCGAGCTGGCGGAGCGCGGCTCGATTTGCGATCCTATGGCCGCGGCCGCGGTCACCGTCGAGCGACTGCGACCTGCGGACAGTTCGGTGAACACCATTCGCGCGGTACCATGCACCGCTGCGGCCGCCGCCGCCGGCGTATTTCCGCCCCCGCCGCCGGAATTTACCACCGGCGTGCTGCCGGCCGGGATCTTCGGCAACATCTTCATCTCCGTGTCACTGCCGCAGGACGCGTCGTCGGAGCGCTGCTACCCGGATCTCCTCGACATCCCCGTCCACGCGGTCAGCGGCGCTGCGGCCGCCGTATCAACCGGCAGCAAGACTGCGGCCTCGTCGGCGGCAATTAACGTTTCTAGCTTTGCCACGCTGCCGCGTCGGGCCTTGCGCTCCACCGAGATCGCCGCCGTCTCGCCTTACGACAATATGGGGCCGCGCATTACGGCAAACGGCAGTTCCGCGTTTTCGCTGACGGACATGACGGACATGGACCTGCGGCTGTCGCCGCCGCCGCCGCCGCGGATCATTCAACCGCCGCACGAGTTCGTTTCTCTCTAAAGCAGCGGCCCCCCTCTTCCTACGCCGATCCGTATTGTCACGCAATACTGATTTCGTAATCGATAATATTCCGCTAATAGCGTTATCCCTTAATATACTACGGAGCATCCATTATCGGCCGGGTATTATTGGATAACAACAATTAATGCGTGGTAATATTAATCGTGTCAGAAATCGCTCATGGATCGACTCTTCGAGAACGCACGCGCTCGCTTCGAACGAGTGATCCGTATACACTCCTCAGTGGAGTTTCAGAGACGTGTCGAATCCTATCACTTATCGGTGTCGCAAATTTGACAATGACGCCAAGTTAAGATCACATTGATTATATTGAAGAATTTTCATTCCGGTATTACGTGTTCGTTGGGTGGATATTAAAAATATTGCAGCTTCGAAATATTGATCGCAACTTTGGACTGCCATTTATGAAATCAAAATTTCTAAATATCATTTGTTTATAATCATAAGTTACATAATCTTTTAACAATTAAAAATTTTATCATTAAACGTAATATTGTGTCGCTTTTTAAGCACTTATGTAATCTCCATTTGTTGTATAAAAAACGATATAAAACCTAATCAGTAATCAATGATCTAAGGAATGATCAATAATCAAATGCAGATAACTCGAATTTTTAAAGACATCGCAAAAGTGTCTTTAATATTTTTTCATCATCTTCTGGACTTCCACATTGCGTTTAGGAAAATGTAATGAGTATAGCATATCTCTAAGTGACTTTTCTCGAGTATTTCATTATTGACAAGGAATATGTAAACAATTTCTAGGAAATGGTCAACATGTCGATGTAAATGGGTGTTTTTCATTCATAATTTGTACACACACTTGTTTTGATTTAAATTAGCTTATAAAGTTGTTATAAAAATATAATTTATAATAAAGTTAAATATGATAAATGAAAAGAATTATCACGTGTGGAAATTAGTGCGCATAATAAATACGTATAATTTTTCGAGCAATTTGAAAATTAATTAATTTTTGTAATAACAATATAATTTAAAAATATAAACATAATACAAATATAAAAGTAAAGTGATTTATATTTTTAATTGTATTTTTAATACATTTATAACTATATTCGAACAATATATAATATTTTGTATTCAACAAATTTTTAAATTTTTTAAACAAATAAATAAAGGTTATTTGCTTCATTAATGCGATATAATAATAATAGCGATGACAATATATCATTTTCAGATTCTTTGTTTTCTTCTCGTTTCGTAATTCACAATGGTTTACGTCACGAAGGATTAGAAAGTTTTTAATTTTATAGCTTAGGCTCTCTTTTTCACTCTTTCCTTCATCTTTATTACTAACAGAATTATTCGGAGTCGATTTGTGTCATCGATATGAATTAAATAGAAAGCGAAAATAATTGAAAGTTTTCTTGTTTTATTGCTGAATGAAAAGCACCCATTTTTGGTGGCCAATTCGCAGATCGCATGAGTAGATAGTTATCAGCGGATAGCCGGACACTCCTTTGGGAAACGACGAGAATGTAGTCGTGATTAGACACCTCCCGCGGGTGCAGTTTAAGTCGACGTGGTTCTTCCCTTCGGCATGCAGCGCGTCCGGTGAAATGCGGAGAAAACGCCGAGAGAGAAAATCGATACCTCGCCGTGTGTCGCGGCCGGCGTGTCACCGAGATTAGTATACGGAGCATTCGATCGAGGGGCTGATATCGGCCACCGATTGTCCGACCTATCGAATATCTGTCTGTCTATGCTTGTCTGCCTGCCTTGCCCGCTTGTCCGGCCAGCTGCCCGTGGCCGCTTGCGTCCACAGTGAATGCGTGATGAATGATAGACGGGTGCGTGGGGAAACCTCTTAGATCTAAGTCTCTTCTAGTCCGCTAACAAATAACCCGAAATGAGGCGACTGTTTGTATATACTTCACACTACTTCTTCAAGACGAGTGGACCTTCAATTTAGCGCGAGCAAACCGGCCGCGTCTCATTATCTTCCCTTCCATTCATTCTCCAAAAGTGTATCACTAGTTTGTTACGTATTCTCTACGTGTGTACATATTTGTTATTGCATCACATATTCGTGTACACGCGCGACCTGGACGCTGCGATTGTCGCGCGCGCGCGTCGGCGCGTTATACACGGAGATATTCATTATGAACACTTTGTCAATTAATAAAAATCATTGAATTTTACATACATCAAGTCACTATTGTCTCATTATGTTCGTTGTGCACTTCGTGAGAAAAAAATGATGTACCGTGCCGTATTATGTTCGAATTTGATTATAACATTCATCGGCGTGCAAATCGCATTTTATCAGAGGAAAAATCAACGGAAGTATTGAAAATTGGAAACAATATGGCATTGTTTTTCTGTACCCAATTTATACGCTAACAATAAAATGAAACTATGAGGATTGTTCTTTTCCTACAAGATACTTTACCTGTAATATAATTGGTCACGGTTTTATGTATTATGTATTAAAAGTGTTGTACCAAATTTCAATTTATTATTAATAACAGTATCTATTTGTAAAAATTGTTACATATAATCAAATAATCATGAGAAATCAGAGAACACACTACTCTTAATTGAATTTTCGAAAATATGTACAAAACAGATCACCAATTAGCCGAGAGCGTGATGTAAATCAAACTTTTATTTATACTCTCCGTTATTTTCGTATAAAAATTAACGAACATTAAATTGGATCGAGTATACCTCGAAATAGAGATCCGGATAAAATAGCATGTCGAGTCACATCAAGATCGAGCCAGAGAAATTGCTATGTCGTGACGATACAAGGCGAGAGGATTGCATGTAAGATTATAAACTGCAGTATTTAAGTGCAGATTATGTATTGTGTTGCATAACTTGCGTACAAAGTGCAAGGGTAAGGTGGGTCGCCTATGCAAATAGGGAAAACGATCAAAAGCACCGCATGTTACATTCCTGACGTTTTCGACATTGAGTTCCTTCTTTTGCCTCGAGTCAATATCCGTCAAATTCGCGGAGACGCGAATCGTGATCAAAGATGGGCAAGCTACAGGAAATTCGCAGCGTCGTGCTCGTTCTCGCGACCTAGTCTCGGAGTGTATCCTCCTTGACCTTGACTATTTCGAGAACCTGGAAAGAGATCAATCACATTGCAGAGCGACGAAAAATCGCACGTGGACTGTCTTAAATTGCTCGCATTTAAGGATTAATGAAGCCGCGTCGTGCAAGCTCTTCATGAAGAAGCGATTCGCATAATGTCAAAGAATGAATATGACGTCGTGTATGACAGTCGATATCTATTCGACATACGCGACGTGTTCCGAGTATTCCGAGAGAATATTTAATTTAGCGAAAATAATATGATCAATACCTTCTGTAACATTTAAAGATGTCGCCGTTCATTCGTGCAAACGCACACTGTTAGTGATCTTTTGAACAATGCATTACATAGAATTGAGATAAAATTAAAATATATTCAATATTTCACTTTTAACAAGATCAATTTAAGGACCAATTGATTATATTTTTTCATAAATTTTAAATCGCAAACTATGTGAGTAAATCACGATCAAACTTAAATTGAGGGATCAATTAATGTCATCGTAATGAAAGGTAAAAATAGGATACCTTTACTCATACCTCGCAAAATAGAGTAGTACGATCGAGCATCATCGCCTTTTTGTAAACGAAGGTCCTTGAATCCGTGTACGCGATCGGGTATTAACCAGGAACCGTCTTTCTGAATTTTGTCAGCATGTTTAAATGCTATCGGTCTGTCTGCGTAGTCTACACAAAGGAGAAGAGTTAACAAATGACTTTCTGTATGTGACAAAAATGTATAATGTCTATATATACATTTCATTGCATGCGCTTTGTTTAAAACCGACAAACGAGATCCTGAGGCGGGGGTCGTCCACAGGACATCGCCGCGCCGTTCCAAATCAACTCATTAAAAACTACAAGCGCATGCCACATAATGCTGCATTGTTTTGCACACAAATGCGCTTACATTTCGCGCTCGTATTTTTCCATAAATTTTATTCAATCCGGTAAAAGCCGCTTTAATTAATAACGGCATTCGCGGATATTGATCTGACGTGAAATGCGTTAAACGTTTATTGCACGGTAACGTCCGTGCACCCAACGTTTACATACTAAAATATTTTTGCAGCAATTGTATCGCCAAGCCTCCAATTTTATTCTTTTATTATTATTATTAAAATTTATAATTTATAATGTTATTAAAGCTATCCTTATAATTGTTCTAATGAATCTTATTTATAAGATTATTTCTTTCGGAAGATTATTATTGAAGATTATTATCTTCTTATGAAATGATTCTTAAAGATTAAATGTACTTTTTAATATTCTGAAATTATGTTTTTACAAAGCTCTCGTTCACACCTTCGTAATCGAGATCTAAGAGAACTTCAGGCTCCATGTCGCGTGTAATGTAGAACCCCATGTCGACATCGGCCGGTAAATCGTGAAATCGGTTTAAATTGTCCAAGCTCGATTCATCGGCTCTTCCGACTCGGGGCTTATGTATTATTCCGAAAGCACGTTCAGCTCTAGGAAAGCTCGCCACTTCCGAATTTCGGCCGATTCTTGGATACGCCACCAATCCAGCAGAACGTCTATCGTTGATTTTTAATTTTTGACCCTCTGGAACGTGAAGCGAGACATTGGCCTCGATTAGAAGATCAAATGGTCGCAATTATTTTGCTTTTCTCTTCAGAAATTACAGAACAATATTTTTTTTCTTTCTCTCTCCGCTAACAATCAGTTAGATGTGTAATGCATCTAATCACTTGCCAATTACGCAAATAATACAATAATGTGTACAAAAATATAAGAGAGAAAATATTACAAATTATTATTTTGTCAAATAAATTATTTTCACAATCGATATATATGTAACTGAAGCAAACTTAATGCGTGTGCTATTATACACATACGTGCTTTGTCAAGCATTTAAGAACAATAATTTGTATGTAAGATACAAGGTTATAAATGTAAAATATATTCAAAATTTAAAAATAATTAGAAGTGTAAATGACAGTATTAAAATAAATATTTATCATTCTTTCTTAAAAGTTTACATAAAAATTTATATTAATTTCTTGGAATAAAGATGCAATTGCCGTAAACAGCGTAATAATTTTAAAGAAATCAAATGTGCAGTCAGCAACACGCTCAAGCGTTGCAAAAATTTAAAAAAATGTCTGAAATACATTTGAAGAAAATGTAAAATAGCAGAACGTCGCTTTGATTGACGACAGTTGTAACGTTTGTGTGCATATGTGTATTTGATATTTATGTATGAAACAATAAAAAAGCTCATCATAAAGACTTATAATAATGAAAAATGCCACACAAAAGTTATGAAAGTATGCGACATTCATGCAAGCTTCTTGCCTCTGGTGGATTCGTAGTGTTGGCCAACCGAGCATCTGGCAACTGCAAAATAAATAGGATGGAAATCGTCGACGTTTTTCCATCAAAAGTCGGACATCATAATCCCTAACAATTTAATCTACACTCGCACTCGTGGCGCTCAACGATTTCCTGCGGGAATTCAGTATGATACTTTTTACTTTTTTTCCCCCCGCGCTATGACTTTTTTGCACTTTAATTCCCCGTCCTACTTCATTTTTACTTCGCTTCGTTGGGAACTGCTGCATCCAAGTTGCTGTTTGGCCTCAATGAGAATGAATTATCTAACACATTATTCGCGAGAGAATAAAAACTGTGACTTTTAATATTAAATTAGAAATTTCCTGTTGTCACTCTTTTTTTTTTCATTTAATAATTTCCATGATATCGACTGCTCTCAATGACAATTTGACAATTTGACTGCATCAACTTATATATTTTGAATTAAGGCTCAAATCGAAATCCGAGTATCTAGATCAGGTGAATCGATGTTGCGGTTAATTTAAGCCAATCTTAATTTATCAAGACGCTTAAATTTTTAATATAGCCTACAAAAATGATAAGTTAATAAAAAATTATATTTAAAAAAAAGTGTTTCAATATTTTCAATAAAGTCAATAATCAAATTTGAAATTTTGAAATTAGAAATGCAACACTTTTGTAAATTTTTTAACTAAAATTTTCAAATTAATGGGACCAGACTTAATAATTGAAAAACAAAAGAGAAAACGTGTATTTTGAAGTTAATTGTATAAAATTCACAATATTGACTTACGATTAAGAGACGTAGAAAATGCCAAAAGAATCACGAAGATAAAAAATCGGTTGTCCTGCATTTTTATGATTCCCGATGATCAGAATTCTAAGTAGATGAGGTGAAGCTTAGAATCGCACCGACACTGAATGCTCGCAGTTACTGGACGTCCGATTTTATACCTTGCGCTTCCTCCACCACTCCACCCGATTATGGAGTTGCCACCCCACAGTTCAAACCCCTTGTCGTAAAGCGTCCGCGTGTCCTCATGTCTCGTCCCTACTCCTTCTGAGATCGACGTATTTTTCGCGAGAGCATTCCATTAGCGCATCCCGATAGCGCAAATCATATAGTATGTGCGTATGTGCAGCGCATAATATATATATGTAAATATTATATATATATATATATATATATATATATATATATATATCATTATCTATCATTAACAATGTCATATTTTTATTTTCTAAACATATAAGTATCATTTTGATACATACTGATTGTTGATACATACTGATTGTTGGTGGTCTTATTGTATATTTAATCAAGTCAATTAGTTTATTACAATACCTTTGTAAAAAAATAATTGTCTTGTAGAAATTTTGTTGCTAAAAAAATTTCTGATTATTCTTCCGGATTTCTAAATTATGAAATAATGAGATTAAGACAATAAATAATTAACTTTTATATATATATACAATGTATGTATGCTCTCTATCAGAATCCTCTTTTTCATTATCTATAATGACACATTATTAGATCTTTTCCGAAGTAAAAAGTTAATTATTTATTATCTTAATCTCATTATTTCATAATTTAGAAATCCGAAAGAATAATCAGAAATTTTTTTAGCAACAAAATTTCTATAAGACACGTAAAATTATTTTCTTACAAAGGTATTATAATAAGCTAATTGACTTGATTAAATATACAATAAGGCCACCAACAATCAGTATGTATCAAAATGATACTTATATGTTTAGAAAATAAAAATATGACATTGTTAATGATAGATAATGATAATCATAATAATGATGATAAAAGTTGACAAATTATAATAAATGTTTATTTTGATAAATACGCACACATGATTCAAAATTGACAAAAAAATTTCATTGAAATCTTTTCGATAATTTCAATAAAATTGCAAATTTTTGCAGCATTCATAAAAATTGTTAGTATTGTAGCACATTTACTTATGACAATTATCTTGATTGATCACATATGTATATGAAATTATAAAATATGAATATCTGAAGATATTGAATATATGAAAGGATAAAAAGTACATTTTATTACAAAAATATTTTATAATATCCATTCCATGCAAGGAAACAAGCTGTTTTATTTATAACAATTATTGAATTATTGGTGTTTCTCTATTTGTTTAACGTTTAATTTTTACCTTACCGAATATTTTGTTATTAGCGACACGTATTGATTACGGTTGATTAAATTTTATGACAAAAGTCAATCGATGCGATCACACACATCGAGCAAACAAGAATGAAGCTTAATTAGTGATAATAATGAAGATAAATTTGTGTCATTTCTAAAACTAAACAGTATTTTTTTAAGTAAAACGCTATAATTTCACGTGTGAACAGCATAAAAAGGGTATATTGTGAATTTTTTGACTATTTGGCACATGAAACGCGCAGAAACATAATTTTATTTTATTAATATAGTATATTTATAGAATGTCTCGCCTTATACATATATATAGCAATCACTTCTTTACGCTTATAGTAGTATGAAAATATATATTATTAATTTTCACGACACGGTCGATTTTAATATATTATGCGACCCTTAGGGTCGGCGAGTCCTATTTATAAAAAAAAAAAAGTATTGATCCTCAGACACATTTTTGAATATACCTACCAGCTAGAACGCCGCGTGTGCGCGCGGCGTCAATTATCGGGTATTACGGTAATTCGGTCGATGTCGACGTAGGTGTAAAAGGAGGCCGCATTACGATATGATGCAGGATAACATATAGATTTATATACGCGTGATGAGATTATCGCGTAACAGATTATAACGCATTATTGTGCGTGACATTTTCTCGACACGTTTTCCCGTTGCGATCTTCCGCTGGAGGATAATCTCCCTAACGTGTGTGAACGTTCTCGCGATGCTTTTTCGCGCTATTCCTGCATACCGTTTACATCCGGTCATAGATGTAATGGATACGTCAGGCTCGATATATAGAGGCATGGAATATGGTTCTTCAAAAATGAATGGAAAAAATTTCAACGTCGGCAAAACCAATTTACCTTTCGGAAGATTAGGAATTCGTAACTTGAGATAAAACATAAATAATTTAATTTGTGGGTGTATTACGTTTTTAGAACTGACACGTGTAAATACAGTATGGTGCAAACACGACACGTGCAGTGAATACATACATATATATATATATATATATATATATATATATATATATATTAAATTACTATATAACATATATGTATATTAACATTCTGCAGGTTAACTTTTCGCTTTTCATTTCGAAAAATTCTTCATTGAAAAATTATTCCGTAAACATTTTTTTCAAAAAACGTTTTACAAAGAATTTTTTGGAAGTGAGAATCAATGCAGTATGAAAAAATAAAAGGATTAAATAAATGATGTTCTACAGTAAATAGTTACCATGTACCGGAAAATTAGATGAACCAACAGCTTATTGTCTCGTGTGCAAAGAAAAGCTTCTGCTTCGTAGTTTAATTTATTTTCGACGAACACAATACACTGCTAGTGAACGTTTCATTTGCATGCGCGTAACAGCTCATTTAAATATAAAGGAGCGTCGATGAGGATCGTATCTAACGTTTAGCGCCGGTTTACCATTTAATTAATTGTACACGTGTATCCTGTACACGCGGATATACGGATATGAATAGGGACATAGATATGGAGACGTGCGACATATGTTCAGTGAATTTATTTCAAGCGAAGAGACACATTGAGCTTCTCTCTTTCTTTCTTTCTCTCTCTCTCTCTCTCTCTCTTAGATTTCGATTAATGTATATGGAATGAGATTACTCTTTTCACCAGCCAGTAATTTTTTACATCGCTAAAAAAAAAACTAGTTTAACGCTGAAAAGATGGTGAGAAACAAGATTACTCTATTGTGTGCCGATGATCCCTTCATACAACTTTGAACAAGAATCTCAGACTTGGCAATAAACTGTTATTTTTACCTATACGTTATTTCATTGCGCCTTAATAAAAGATGCTAATTATACTATCGTATTTTAAGTGGGTTGATGAAAAATGGCATGTCGCTTCTTGACTTGGCGATGGTGGATCATTTGTCAGAGATATTAATTTTTGGTCTAGCGTTTTAATTATAAAGATAATTAGTAAGAACCTTTAGATAATAATAGGAAAGCGTAAATATCTCGTAAAATTAACTATTCCAAAAATAGATTTTCTTAATTAAAATAAATAAATATTTGAACAATTCAAAAAAGATGAAAAAAGCATATAGCACAGACGGTAAATAATAACACTTATCTATCTATTATATTTGTTAAAAACAAAATTTATAAATAAAGAATATTTTCGAATAAAAAACATTTAATTTTTTTTTTCATAACTGTATTCTTACAATTTGTAGGATATTGTAGTAAATCTTTTACGAGATAAAACATTTTCATAGAAAGAAAATGATATAGTTTACAAAATATATAAATTAAATTTTCAGTCTCTCGGTAAGAATACATAAAAGTTCGTGTTTATGTATATCAAGTTCTCTCAATCATCGACTATCTTTTTCAGGATATGCGTAACGCCGTATTGATACATGGCGGCATTAATTTTCTTTAACTTCTGAACCTCCTTCTGTAAATCCTCCACCTTCCTCGACATATCGTCCGATCCTCGGGAATCGCTGCTATCCTCCGCGTAGGATTCGAAGTTTAGAATCTCCGCTGGGTTTCGTCCTCTGGAAACGACCTCGACGACGCTTTCTCTGCCGCCGTCGTCCGACGTCCTCTGCAGATTGTGCACTTGCAAGCGCGGTTTGAGAACGGGGGCGCGAAAATTGTCGAATCCCCTCGCGAAGAAGGCGGCGGTAACCGGTCCCTTATGCTCGAACGTCCTGAGCACCTGCCGGCTGGCAATATCCCAGACGTGGACCGCGCCGTCGGTAGATCCGGACAGCAGAGTACGGCAGTCCACGGATACCGACAGGGCGGTCACGTTCGACTTGTGCGCCTGGAAGACGGCGCTCTCCTCGCTCGAGCCCACCGTGACATGGTGCTCGACCCCGCGTGGCGGCTCGTGCAGGTTACACTGGAGTATCTCGCCGGTCGTGCAGCCCACGAAGAGTTCGCTCTCGCGGACGTTCACGGTGACCGCTGTGAGCGGCGCGTCGAACACCAGGGAGACCAGGAGGGCTCCGCTGCCGAGCTCGTAGATATTCGCGGTGCGATCCAGCGAGACCGTGTACAATCTCGCGCGGGCACCGCCGTGGCCGAGGTGCAGATCCCTGACCGGCAAGCTGTGGTTGGAGAAGGCGTGAACGGGAGAGCAGCGCTGGTCGTTCAGCGCGCTGTAGAGCGACCATACGAACACCAGGCCGTCCTCGCCGGCGCTGGCGAATAACGAGCCGTCCCTCGCGGTGGCCAGACAGCTGACGGTCTGATAATGCCTGGTCAGATTGGCCAGCAGCCTGCCGTTGCATGTCTGCCAGATGAACAGCTTCTCGCCCACGGAGGCGATTATGTAGGAGCCGTTCGGCGTGCAGGTCAAGGCGTTGACCTTGCCCGGCGTGGACAGTCGAATGTTGGGCAACGGCGACGGATTGTTCAGCGGCCAGATGTGTATACGCGGCCTCGTGACGTCCGCGCCCACCACGTAGCTGTCGCCCAGAAGCTGAAGGCTGCGGTGTCCGAGCGCGGTCGCGTTCTTGTACACGGACAACAGAGAACCGTTCCGGGGATCCCACACAGCGGCGCTCCAGCTCTCCCCGGTGGTGTCGCTCGTCAGGATCAACTCCTTCGCGTCGGTCACTCGGTGCATTTTGGTCTCGCAGTTTTCTCACAGCTACACCACACGCACTGTACTGTATTAATACAGCGATCACGGCCGTGAAGCCGACCTTATCATTTCTTCTTCTTCTTCGTTTACGAGTATCAGTCGTTATTGAGAGATCAGAACATCACTCTCTTTCGGTCTTGTCTTCAATTTAACTTTTCCACCTTGTGCAAATGTATGTCCGTAAACACGTGGGCAGTATGTACAGAATAGGTTAGGTACCGTCTATCGAAGATATCCAAGTCAGATGGAGCTGCTGTCAGTACAGTAGAGCGACTGCCGGTGTTTTGTTGCATCTGTCGGTCACTTTTTAATTCTTTATTGTGTTAGAAGGAATAGCAAAGACTATAGTACTGAAGAATAATATAAAACAAGAACGAAAAAAAAATTGTTTTATGTTTTCGATTGTTTGATTTATTTCTTTTGTTTCTTATATTTTCTTAAGCAACCCTTAACCTTCGGGCCATCGATTAATGTGTAGTTAAATCTTCACTTTCAGAATTTTCTAATCGCATCCTAAATAGTACACCTAGTACACGCACGACGGTGTCACGTGACATCTTCAAGAGATGTCATCTACATTTCGAAATTGTGTGTGATGTGTGTGTGTATGTGTGTGCGTGTTCTTTTTTTTATGTGTGATTAATCGGCTTTCAATCTCGTTATCTTTTGCAAAAAAAAAACGCGAGAAGAAAAAAATCAATTAAAACATAATCTCTTTATTAATATCGAGGTGTGTCGACGTAAAAGTCGACACGCATTTCATTATTTACCACGCAACTCGGCCACAACCGGAAGGTTATGCTCCGTCGTGATTACGTCGATTCTTCGATTGTTTTCACTTAGCTGTTAAAAATCATCGGGGAACTCGTCTTGGCGCGTCCACACTTGCCCATGGGATTTATTGACGATGAATTGCAAGAGGTATCACAGCTCTGCCATAATGTCATCGACGGAAGCCGCCTTGTCTCTTGCGTACGGAGCATGGTCCGCGTCGAAATAACGTGAGAAAGCTCTTGTCGCACCTGTCAAAAGTGTCACCTCCCCCATTGCTAATTGTGATTCGTTTATCTTGCAGAAAAACACCGTTCAAGCAACTCGTTGTGTGCATCCAGTTCCAAGAGGATTATCCTGCGTCGCCGTTGTTTGTCGAATTAAAGAGTAAAACTCTGTCTGCGAAGCTGCTCGATGGACTAACAGAGATCTGCGAGAAAGAGTGCAAGCGTTTCTTGAACAAAGCGCAGGTTTACAATTAGATTTATATGTAGTAACCAGCTGCGTAAAACATTTACATTTTATACAATATAAATTCTTGTACTTGTAGATATTGCCAGTTTTAAAGTTTATCAGGAATTTTATTGAGGAGACTCCTCTCATCTGCTGCTACGAGGAAATATCACTATTGAAAAAGCTTTTGGGGGATAAGGATGAGTTGAAGTTGAAGCAAAAGAATTCTTCTATTAATCTAACGCTGCATCAAAATTTGTATCATTTCAAGATCAAGCTTGAAGTGCCAGACAATTATCCCACCAATTGTGTGACGTATGTTCAATCATTTTCTCTGCAAAAGTTATTATATTTATAATAAGTTAAGGTACAATATGACTAACTTGCGTCACTTGTTTGCAGTTTTGGTGATGTTGATTCAAATTTTCCACCACTGTTCAATCGCTATCTAGTTGGACAAGGAAGAGAATTAGCAAGGCAATGTGTCGAGCCATCATTGAGGAAACAACAAAAGTCATTTACACCATCACCATCATTAAACACAGTAGCCTCCTTTCTCATAAAGTAATTTTTATTCTTACATAAAATATTTATTCTTACATATTTTAAGCTATTACAGTTCTTTTTCAATTCTATTATATTTTAATTTATGCAGGCGTGTAAAAGCTTTTCCGCAAGAACCCTGTCAACACTGCAAAATAACGTGCTTGCCAATAAACCCAGAAGAGATTGTAACAGACGAAAATGCGGATTTCCACGCCGAAAGGCTTTATTGTGGTCATCTCTTCCACTTAAAATGTCTCGTGACATACATGAAGACTCCGCCATTCCATGGTAAAAAATAAAATTTTTATTTAAATATCAAATTACACTATAGACAGTTATTAAATTTGAAAGTTATATTTTAAAATTTTTATATTCTTTTGTAGGGGGTAAGAAATGTCCGAGTTGCGGCCAACGCGTTTATCATGACAAATGGGGCTTATCTGACAAGCTGGCAGAAGCCCGTTGGGCCCATCAAGAGGCACGAGCGAGAGAGTTGGCGGAAGTTGAAGATTTTTTCAACTAATACCCGCATCGTGGAAACTCGTGGAATGAGTCTCACGATAAAACTTACTGGAAGTACAATATAATAAATAGAAGCTTTTATAATATACATATGTATATACAGAGTGGGCAACTCACATTTCGAGCGAAAATGAAATGTAAGTTAAAACTGAAAAAAGAAACCTAACTTAAAAATAATATTATTTTTTCACAATAACATGTAAAAGATACAAATCTCTGAATTGAATGATTTTTAAACTCGGGAATTTTTAAAGAAATGAAAGCGAACAATATCTATTATTATTGGTGGATGTTAAAAAATATACCAGATTTGGATTGTTATTACGGTCAAGTAATTAATGAATAAGGAATATTACGAGGGAATAAATCTGATTAAGTGATATTGAAAATTGTTTTTAGCTTTATAGCTACTTTCATTGCAATTACTACTGCTATTTTTTTCCACAAACTTACGATACTGATTATTTCTCTAAGAACAGGGGCAAATAATAAATTTAAAAGAATTTTAAAGAAAAAAATTATTTTTAAATATACATATAAAAATATTTATCCGTTTCCAAATATAAAAAATTAATATTTTCAAAAAATCGAAAGCAAAACAGAATATCATTATATGTATAACAAATGAGCATTGGTTAGGGCTCAGTTGATAAGAATATTTTTTATATTTATATACAATCAAAATTATTTGTTTTTATATTTTTAAATATTTTATGTGAAAATAATTATATATACAACTTCTAATCTTTGTTTTTTATTTATAACAGCAGAATAATCATTTAAGATTATTTATCGGTTCTTATCATATGTTATAAGATTTAATTCGGGATTTTTTTTAGGGAGAATGTTCTTAGTATTCTTTTATTAGAAAATCTATTTTTAAGATAAAATCAAAAGGAGAATAATTTTAATAATAAAAATGCTCTAAAAAACAGATGTTAAGAAATAGTCCGCATATAATTTCTTTGAAACTAATTAAATCTTTTAATCACGAGTAGGACGAAAACAACATTTTTTATAATTCATTGTCTTACAGATAACTTTTACGATAACGAAGAAAGATAAAGTAGTTTAAGGATTCTACCTCCCTAGGTAATCGATATATAAGAAAAAAAGATATCTTTAATGAGAAATTCGTTTATAGTTTATGACGACGCACAAATGTTGCGAGAATTCTCTGTTGTAAGTGTAATAAGAATCAGGAATGAATAAATCTTAAAATAAATTTGAGAAAAACAGATTGTTGATCTGTCTAGTTTATCGAGCGTTATAAGTATAGTATATATTTCATTTCACAACGATTTATCTTATATGTCGCGTACGTTGCGCTCTGCGAAACAAGCGGACTCGTTCGATGATACAAGTAATTATATAATGTGCAGAAAAATTATCTCGGAGTACGGCCTGTACGAGGTGCAGTCTCGCGTGTATGCACGAATAGTTGTGACCGTGTTCGTGACGTATTGATCCTCGGTACCGTTCTATAGTGATATTTTCTCCCTTCCTTTCTCTCTCTCTCTCTTTCTCTCTGACCTCTCGTACGGATACATTTTCGTTTGTTCTGCCGCGCGTTTACTTTGCCACCCCTTCTCTGACGGCTAGTATTCCTTACGCGTATATCCATTATGGGATACCTCCGGGCACGTATATGGTATATTAGGACAGACAATGAAAGAGAAGGCAATATACGGTAGCTGATGAGCTACTAGCCACAAAAATTAATTCGAGATTGCTTTTCATCAATTTTTAATTACTTTAGAATACTTGATAGAAGCTGAAAATAAAAAACTTTTTTTTTGTATATGTGCCTTAATGCAAAGTAATTTAATGATTAAAGCGGTTTCTCATAATTAATTATTTTAAACAAACCAGATATCGATAAAATCATGAAATTTTTGTTTTCAAAAATCATTCAAATAAAAATATGTGCTGGAAATACTTCGACATTATGATATTTTAAAAAATTGAAAATTGCCATATTTTCCTATTAAAAATTGCAATTTTTTAAAATTGAAAGACTAGAGCTTAAATATTTTTCATCGTGCTGAATTCTCGCTGCAAGATGCAGAGAGAAGCAATTTGTTTTGTCATACTTATTTTTAATTTGCGTGTATTATAAGTACTATCTAAAATTAACATCTTTGTATACCTAGTTCTCTTGATATCACTTAAATTATTTATCGAATCAATGAATTAAATCGTTCATCTTTTCGAAGATATCTCAAGCCAATAAATAATTTATATTCTTCTCTTGAAATTATTTCTCGTGTCCAATAGTCAATGCATTATTTCTTCTTGATTTGAATTATTACTTACTATTCGTGTTTATTCGTACTATTAATGACACCGACCAAAAAAACCGTTTATATAAAGTCACTTTTTCATATTTTATAAAAAGAAGAAATTTTGCGGGTGAAAGTTAACTTTTGATATTAATCTGTCGTTTTTTTCGATATTTGCAATAATAACCGGATAATAAACGGAATAATAAACGAAACTCGCGCGAATATGTCGGTTCCCAAGGGCGATCGACTAAATTTTTCTCCCGCCGTGCGCTCGCATTTAGTTCTGGGAGACAGCCGGGCAGACTAATTCCCAGTTATCGATTCCACGCATACGTGGAAACGTACGCTCGTGTCGTACTCATGTAGGGCGGACTCTCACCGCGTTCTTTACACCTGACCGAAACGCGATTACGGCGATGTTTACGGCAAATCTGGCTCTTCCCACATTGCGTATCTACTCTCTTTCTCGCGCTACGCAAATTCGCTTCTGAGAGCGGCAATGTAAAAAGTACGTCGCGACTTGTTGTTCGCGCTGGGAAGATATTTCCGGGTCGATTTCTGGGTCGATGGTCACGTCGCGCGCCGAGAACGTGGCTGCAAATTTTCACGTGTCACGTGTACGATTTCATTATCGCAGCGGCGTTATTAATCTACGTTTGTGCTCGCATTTGGGTCGCTTCCGACCGTATACGTGTGCGACTGTTCACCGGCTACGGGTTTGCGAACGATTGCGAGGGGTTTCCTCGGTGTATGCACCTGGAGTCGTTCACACCGATTTATCTCGCGCCGAGAATAGCCTGGCGTTTCTTTTCCATGCGACCAGCGATATATTAATATAACGCATGTTAATGTCAATGTTACAGATTTATAATATATCAACATTATTATACTGTTATCATTATCGTAAATAAGTACATAAAAAAAAACATGAAATGTCCGAAAAGAAATTTAGGAAATACCATAAATTACAATTAGTTTGCAATGTTATTTCTCAGAAAACTGTTATGATTGAATATAATATAAAACGATATAATACGATTAAACGTCAATTTAATAAATTTAAATGAAAAAATGACTCATTAATGTAAATTAATATGATCGAACAGTTTGCTTCCTTGTCTAATCAATCAAAGATTAGCCCTATATGGGCGACGCATAAATTTCATGGATCATCCTTGCGGGACTTGGATAATACGCCTGGTTGCCGATGCGTGTTATATACACACACGATACACCTATAATTGCACGTGGGGCAGCTTCGTCGTAACGCTTCGTGGATCGATAGCCGGGAAATGGCCGGAAGCCAAGTCCGACGACGACGACGACGACGTCGTTTCGAGTTTTGCCGTTGTCACAGTGCGCGAGGGCCAACCCCTTTCGTCGCGAGTGTCCCACTTCTGTTTCAGTAACCCCCAACGCACAATTCTCCGCCGCCCCCTCTCAAGATTGCCCTCCCCCCCTGCGAGAAGTTTCGCCGTCTCGTCCTTTTTCAGAATGTCAAAATGCAGCTCCGTTCGACGACGACGCCGAAATGGAACTCACCCGAGGCGCGCACACTGCACGTACACACGTTCATCACGACGGAAATTAAATTTTCCACGGATATCCTATATAATGTATTCGCGGAATTTAATGGATTGTTGCAGCAATCACGTATTCCCAAACGTCGACTATTTCATCGATTTACGAAGAGGATCAATTGAATTCTTTTTTTCTCTAACAGTATGCTTGAAAGAAAAGTGATCGAGAGAAACTTTGTTAGCTCGAATTAACTTATCTGAATTATAATTTATAAAAAGAATATCTATTCTGATAAGATCGCTCGATTTTAAACAGATGACTACTTTTGCAAAACCGACTTATTGTAATACACACAATATTTCACACAATGCATATTTTTACGGTAAAAGCTGAAAATTTACGCAATCTCACTTGTCACTTCTGTAAATGCGGGTGCAGCGACAAAATATGATTTTTTAATAGTGAAAGCTTTCGAATCTAGGACGCATGCAATTATTGGCTTAAGTATTGTTTGTAATTTTTATTGCACAATAAAAAGTCACGAAATGAATTATCACTCTCGTGATATTACTCTACGCGCGAGCATTAACGTCAGGCTTAAAAGCGATAGAAACGGAAGGTTGTTGCGCTATAAGAAACGTTTCTTGCATCCTCGATCGAGAAGTCAACGGCTGTAAAAAGAAAGGGGGACGCGTTATGGCGCGTGCCACGTGAAGAGTGTTCACTTCCTTATTTTTGGAAGATCGCGTGACACAAGGTTTCACGCATTTCTTTCAGCGGTGTGATTGTACCTGGAGAAGGTGTCATCTCAGAATAAAACGGCAGCGGGTGCCGTAAATGATGCGTGAAAGCAGCTGTCCTTCGGGCTCGCTGGCCTCGACCACAACGATCTACTTTTATTCACGTTTGCGACGATTTAAAACGAATAAAATCATGTATACAAAATCATTTGTGGGAAAATACCGAAGGGGAAGTAAAGAAATGTTCCCAGCGAAAACGTCGGAGTGTGAAAATGTATATATACATGTTTAAGGAATTTGTTAATAAAACGTTATCGTTGAGTGAATGAATAAATATATTTTTTCATTATTATTACTTTTATCAAAGCATACGTAAAAACAGGATTAATTTAGACAATAAAATTGGAAAATACATGATGATGTATACAATTTCACATTCGTTATACGATGCGACTTAATATTGGCTACAACTGCTCGTTCAATCGTAGTCTATGTATATGTATATATCTCGCATCTGTTTCTATATCGCCCTCCACCACTCCCCTCTCTCCACAAAATTTCAATTTTCCGATTTAAAACGGAAAACGCGATGTCCTCGCTTTTACCGCGACACGGGAAATGCCGATTTATAATCTACATACACGTGTGTGTGGAACCACGCGAGAGAGGGTACGAGGAGAGAGATGGTAGGAGGGCGCATAAAAGAGGGAGAAAGAAGGCCCACGTAGGTCGCGGGGTCCCGCAACAACAAGTTGCAGCCACCTGGCGAGGGTGATGCCGGCCACCCAGTGGCCCCTCCAGGTGCTCCCCCTGCGAAACCCCCTGCTTCGCGCTGCGTGTGCC